CAAGATTTCTGATTCTAGTTTTTAAGTTTTTTCACTTTAAGTTCTTTATTTCTTAAGGTATTTTCTTAAAACTTTAAATATAAGTTGCTTGTCATCAACCACATCATATGTGACAAGGTTTACAACTCTAGCACAAAATTTATCAGAATTACCTCCCTTGAACTTAAAATTTTCATGAAAAAAACATTGTTTTTTTTAATAACTTCTTTTTTTGAATGTATCTACTTCAAACTTCATATAAATGTTTCTTATTATCACTCAACATTTGTGAGTGTACAATACTCTAGCAAGACTATTTCCAGAATTATGCCCCTTTTGAACTTAGACTTTTTTTTTGAGAAATTGGTAATTTTTACTCCAACTTCTTCACAGTGTGGCAATACCACGTGACATTGACGTCATTTTCGGCATCATTTCCAAGACAAATGTTGCTCGATTCGGAAAAGAAAATAGCCGTAAATATTTTATTTCTGTACCAATTTCTTTGGGATATGCACCAGTCTACGGGGAAAAATATAAGCTTTCCATAGAATATTGGATCTTCGTCAGTTTATAAGCCGTTTTTTCAAACACTTTGCCTAACCTTGGAAGTTGCTTGTATTAGAGCGGGCTTCAGTTGCAAGCTATTTCGTTTTCTGGCGTTATCTGGTCTACGCCATGATTAAAAAGTCAGGTTTACATCAACCGGGAGTACGGAAGGCAAAACTCTACCTAAATATGTTCATATTTTTATTATGAATGACATAAATCTTACATTTTTCTTCAATTGTCAATTCTGGCACCAGTTCCAAGTCGAAAAAAAGGACTACAGTTTAAAGCAGATTTTAGAATCCGTTGCAAATGCAAAGCAACATGCCTACCGTTCTCTTTCTATTATTATGTTAACCATGAAAAACATTTTATTTACTATACGATTAACATAAACACAAATGAATATTTAAATGATTTTTACTCGCTGCGCTATAAGTGATTTTAAAAGTCGTAAAATGTGGTCTGTATTTGTAAAGAAATTGATTTGCTCTTTTCACGGTAATGATTGTGAAAAATCTATTTGTGTCATGTAGCAATACTAAACGTGGAATAGAAAACAGAAACCCTAAATATCGCCCAAAACGGCAAAATTGAAAATGTTTCAGGCTCTGATTGACTTAGCTAGCCTGTCCAATGAACGTGCACATTCAGGATCACTTCGATTTGTATGCTGTGAAAAGGGTTACGCCTCAACGCGGCAATTTTAAAGTCAAATGTTATTCTTTTGTAAAGAGCCTTTGTATATATATATAAAGAACCTGTAGCAATCTTTTAGTATGATAGATTAAGCTTTTTAACACAGTGGCACTCGTTGATAAAAATATTTTTACATCCTGTTTTCATACCCACGGTAACCGTTTTTCGTGAACTGGATATAACTTCGTTTACTTAAGAACACTATTAAACCCTATCTATTTTATAATTGCATTTATTTCTGTTGATGAACTGCATATCTGACAAATTTAGTTAATAATATCAGTCAACTCAGCTTTATCAGAGAGCTCACCAATATAAACATTGTAAAGAGAGAAAGTGAACGGAATATTTATGGTTTGAAAACATTTAAATCGAGTAGAACTTTTTAACAATAATGTCTCTTTCAACTGAATAAAAACGATAGGGCTATTAAGGACAATTTCTTATCGATGTGGTCATTGGCTGTAAATGCATGGATTATTGCACGCGGCATGACCTGCAGATGTCCTCAACAGGCTTTTTAAAAATTTGTAGCATTTTAAGATTTAAAAAAGCATCGCACATTAAAATCTAAAACATGATAAACATGACGCATATACTAAATAAGTGAATTATCTGATATGTAAATAAAGAAGTAAGTCATTTGACAGTTGAAGGATAAAAAATGAATATACTCTTCAAATGTAATCGTAATTTTACTAAGCTTATGTTAGCTATATCAATTATTCAATGGACGCATCAGTGGCATATGGACCCCAGTCATAGATCTTGCCGATGTTGCTATTACAGATGTTAATGTAAATATTTATATAATTATTGATAATCATTGTTATTTTTGTCTTTTTGAATGTTTTGTTTCAAGAAATTTGACTGTGATCGATGGCTGTTGCTTTGTAAAATCATTTATCTGTTTACTATTTTCTACTTTGTTTACTCCACATGGCGTCCATTCTCGTTCTTATTCATGGCTATTTTGGGTCTTTTTGATAAATAGAGAATCATAAGTAATGCAACTAAGTAACAATACTATCAGATTTACAAGGCAAAGTTCCAAGTTCAAATTGTGTTTTAGTTTATCAAACTCTATAGAACTTTATTATACAACAATTCCAGAAAAAATATATACCTTTTAAAAGTCTCTCTTTTGAGGACAGAATAACCTATTCGTCACATTCACGAGTGTCAGTATTTGTCAGTTACTCTTTTTAAAAATAAACTGAAAAAATACCTTTAGCTTTACAACACTCGCGTTAAAGTGTAACCCTTTCCATATCATACAAAAGTGTTTTTTATATTAACTCTTTCTCTCACTAAGAGCATATATTTCTTATCAATTTCGCCATTGTGAAATAGAATAATTTTACTACATAGGATAAGATGAGCAATACTTTAAACATCTTCAAAACGAAACCAAAACATTATTTTCCGACAGGACTAAATCTACGTGATTTGACATGCGATACAAGTAAGTGTTGTTGCTTTAAGGAACAATCAGTTTTTTTCACAATCTCTCTGTGAACGATCAACAATGAAAAACTCAATTGTAGAAAGAGAACGGTAGGCATGTTGCTTCGCATTTGCAACGGATTCTAAAATCTGCTTTAAACTGTAGTCCTTTATTTCGACTTGGAACTGGTGCCAGAATTGACAATTGAAGAAAAATGTAAGATTTATGTCATTCGTAATAAAAATATGAACATATTTAGGTAGAGTTTTGCCTTCCGTACTCCCGGTTGATGTAAACCTGACTTTTTAATCATGGCGTAGACCAGATAACGCCAGAAAACGAAATAGCTTGCAACTGAAGCCCGCTCTAATACAAGCAACTTCCAAGGTTAGGCAAAGTGTTTGATAAAACGGCTTATAAACTGACGAAGATCCAATATTCTATGGAAAGCTTATATTTTTCCCCGTAGACTGGTGCATATCCCAAAGAAATTGGTACAGAAATAAAACATTTACGGCTATTTTCTTTTCCGAATCGAGCAACATTTGTCTTGGAAATGATGCCGAAAATGACGTCAATGTCACGTGGTATTGCCACACTGCTTCAATCATGATAGGATTTTAAAAATGTTATATTTTGATAACAGGGATGTTTAAAAAATAACTTTAGAGTCTTCTTCAGTCTGTCTGTCTGTACATAAAAACTGTTTCCTGTGATAACTTTTAAATAACTTTTTTAACAAATTTACTTAAAATAGGAACATAAGTGAATGGCCAATGGCCCTTCAGAATGTTGCTTGGGCTCTTACCGGTAGGGGACTTATGGATTGCTTGCAATACTATGATAATTGCTTGTTCATATATATAAACTATTACCCAATGTATCTTACTACGTCAGTTCTTGTCAGTTATTTCACAAGCTCTTAAAATACACTGGTTGAATAATGTGTTCAATGTATACTTCTTGTTTTACTGAGTACATATACAAAAAAGAAACAAAGACTTAACTACTTGTTACTTAGAAATATCTTAGAAAAAAAAAATCAAATTTCCTGATCCACCATTCAACAAACAATCTGAATTGTTTCTTTGCGAGTAGGATTCAAACTCACTGTGGAGAGGAGCAAGTGATTAGATTTCAGTGACCCGAAACCAGTCAGTCATGTAGGCCTCTTGCATTGAAACTAGTACTGTTATGTGCATTATTTCCACAAGTCTGCAATTTTGATGTTATTTTGTGGTGATTAATGCTTCTGAGGGATCACTGTTTTCACAAATTTCTAAACCTTTGCTTCTATCCCAGTGTTGTTTTCAATGAATCAAAGTTATGCCAAGACATCATAGGTGTTCTCAATGTACTTTTGTGTGTGATTTAACTAGCAATTTCTATTTTCAGCTTTTTCAGTCATTTTTGTTTTGCTTTTAGTTGGGAACAATTTAGTCCCTCTTTATATTTTTGTTGAATATTTAACAAATTTCCTAAATAAAGGACATAAAAACACTAGCATTGTGTTGTAACTTTGTGCCAGTACAGAATTATTTAGAATACATGTACAGTAAAAATGACCAGCATGAAACCATTACTAATTATATGCAAAAAAAAGTGTAGAAAGTGTTACAGCAGTGGCTTGTAAGCTGGTCAGTTTTAATTGCTTCCAAATGATAGCTTTTAAAGAGGTGAAATTTTTTAATAAAGTGTAAGACATGTGTAACATCATGTTGTACACGTCAGCTTCAACTTCCAGCCTCTTTTCGTCTTTGGATTTGCCTAAGTTGTATAAAAGTATAGCATACTGCATAATAAGGCCAATTTTGGCTACATAAACTATATTTTTACCAGGTTTTCAACAAAAACCTGTTTTAGTGATGCTGGTCAGTGGGCTGGATTAAAGTTTTTGCATGATGATGGTGTTGCAATGGACATAATAACTTTTTCTTAGACACCAGCTATAAAATTGTAGCTTTCAGAAGAATGCCCCTTGTCTAAACAACTGTGTTGTCATGATAATCAAGTCTCGTGTTGATACATTTTATACTTATAAATCACTCTACTTAACAGACAATTTTCCCAAAGAGGGACATAACTTCGAAAAATATAGCTTTTAAAATGCTGCACCTTGTCATGATAAGCAAGTATTCTTAGTGTCCTGTTGATAACTTTTATAATGTTTGAATAATACATTAAAGTTTTTACACAAAGATGACCACAATGATAATGCTGCAGCAATCATGATAGCTTGACTTATTCTTTGTAACAGGCAAGCTAAAAATAACAAAAACAGATATAAACAAATATTTGAAACAAAGAAAGAACCAGGAACTGATCATGATTTTATATATATTTATTGGGAGTATTCAGTAATATATATTTATATACGTGCACAGAATTCTCAACACTACCCAACTCTGTACATGTCACAGGTATGTTTGTTTCTTCACTTGGATACAAATTTATTGCAAGTTTAATATATCTGTTAACTTCATGATTTACTAACTAATATATAACTACAAAGTTATTTTCTTCTAGATTAAAGACCTTAAAAGAAATGCTTAAATTCTTGGAGACTTGCATATCTATTTTTCCACTTCCTAATTCTAAAAATATGTAAATGAATAAAAATGTCAAGATGAAACATTACCTATTTTTAGCCTGGAAGTATTTTTCTAATGTAAACTTGTATAACATTTCCTTTCTTAACTAGCTCTTGAAAAACAAGACTTTTTAAGGAAGTTTTATGTTTATGTACACGTCAATTTTTTATAACCATAAATGTTTGTTCATACAACATAATATAAAAACTTGAGTGAAAAAATAAAGTATACAGTAACAAAGGAGTGCACGTTATTCAGTCCAAAAGCACATATCAAGGTATATGTATAAAAACATCAAATAATATCTGCATATTTTCATGTTCAAATCATAAAACAAGGCATCAGCAGTAAAACGAAATTGGTGGGATAATATATTGCATACATGTATGGTTCAAAAACATTATGTAGCGTGGAAGAACTGATCAAATAAATACATAAACTGCCATTTCAAATCATTCACTTTTGACGATGTAATGTGACATTTCTACAATTTCTGCAAAACATCATGGAAAACTTTGTCAATGAAAGAACCAAGAATTCTGTTTTGTAATTAGAAGAAGAACTTTTTCCTTAAATCTGCATGCCTCCAGATGAGCCAAAATATTTTAAGAAAGTCAAGTCAACCTTGAGAAAAATTTACTAAGAATATAAGAAAAGAAAAAATATTCACAATTCAAGAAATAATTCATGTATATGCAATTTTAATTTGCAATATTAATCACCATATTACTACTGCACGACTAACACAGTAAGGGCTTTTTTGTGCATATTCTGACCTATTTTTTGTTAATTTTAAGTAGGTCTGAAGTGCTGTTCTCATTGTGGAAATTACTTTTTATGTTCACCTTGCAATATTTTACTTTTTAATAAATTTTAAAAATGTTCATGAAAATTAGCATGAATCTAGAGACATGCTGTTTTTATATTCATAAGTATCAAGATGGAATCTTAAATAATGGGAGACAACTTTTGAAAGAGCCCTCGTTCATGTATAAATAAATGAAAATCTGGACACTTTTTAAAACAATGATTTACTGTGGGTTTTTTTACTGTTTGGATAGCTGGAAACATTCACTTTGAAAATCTTACAGAAATATTTGGTTTAATTATTTGCTCTCTCTAGTTATGTTATCAGTAATTTTATTCATAATGGCTAATTAAAGAATAACTTTTTTTAAATCAATTCACTTCTTGTCACCTTACTGCAGTAACAGGTTAACTGTTATTTAATCATATAAGGAGTTTACCAGTTACTGCACTAAGGTGATGATTTGATCAATGATTTCATTGCAAAATTTCTCCTAAATATGATAATTTGCCTGTTCCAAGTTTTTTGTGTTGTTTTGTTTTTTTTATTCAGAATGACCACTTTCTATAATAAGAGACCCCATCTAGAATCTCTTCTTTTCTCTAATAATGCAGTCATGTAACAATATTAATATTTGAAAAATAAAACTTCACAAAACAAATAGTAAAAAAAATCAATATCAATATATTTTATCACAACTGCAAACTGTCACTGACAAAAAAGGGTGACAAATAAAAACCACCTTTTACAAGATGCTCATAAAGGTCAAATGTTGCTCACTTGGATATAAATGCAATCTCAATAACTTATCTTGAATGCCTTTTGACCAGATGAGCTAAATATGTTTTTATGGCAAACTGCAAAGAGTAGCAAAACTATATTTAGGTATTTTCCCAATTCTAAATATATAACTAAAAATAACAAGAATTCCCAAGGTACTGGTACAATAATAGGTACTGGCAATAGAAAAACCCTGATATAAAAGAAATTTGTTCATGCAAAACAAAAAACGTTACAAATGTCTGAAAAGTTTTTTTTACAAAAGAAATGAATGTCATATGAACATTTGCAAAAAGTAACTTTCTTTACAGAAAAATGGTCTTTAGCCTAAAAATTCTGGAAAAAGGGGAAATCACTCAATGGAAATGTAAACAAATTTTAAAGTTAAAATTGCAGACTAGGCTTGATTGATTCTGTTGATAAGAGAAAAAGGAAAATGCAACATCTATTTTTAATAAAAGAAAATAACTAATTTGTAAACATCAAATGTGACATTGTTATTTATTTGATGGGTAGATAATGCCATTCACTGACCTTACTTTTAAGGGTATAGATCTATATCGATTTGTCTGTAATTGAGAATTTCCAACTGTATCCTGATAACAACCGTTTCATTGTTTCTAAATTAAAGAATGATCATTGAAAATTGAGATTCCCTAATTGTATTTGTTGACAAATTCAGCATTGTAAATTCAGTAACATGTTATGCTAGGTGCCTTTTATAATATTATATAATGCAATTTTTTGTGAAACTCTACCATTTAACTTTTCAGAAAATTAAAACACTATGGACAATTGTGGATTATAAAAAACTGTTGAAGTAAAACAATTTTAAAACAAAGATAACAAATGTTTCTCAGTTCAGTATAATCTTAAAGACGTAATTATTTAATAAGGTATAAAAACAACAACGACAACCTGTACAAGAATATAAAACTCTAGATCTCTCTCTCTGTACATTATTATAATGATTTGGAATAAAATCTAACTCTGTGTTTACATATATGTACAAAAAAGGTTAAATAATCTATATAAATATTGCACTAGATGCTAATGGAAACTATACACAAATGACACAATGTTATCTATAGTCAACAATATAAAAACACAAGACATTTTTTACATGTGTATTGTAAAACGTTCAGAAATATTAAAACTGGAAGAGCTTTGTAATAATTCACATGGTACCTGAATATACATAACTGGTTAGTAAATAAACAGTTTCTATGCATTTTCTATTATCAAAACAATATAACACTAATCTTTTAATAGTCATGTATGTCTAGAGCCTTCTGATTCTAATAATTTAAAAATTTTCAGTCAAAACCGAAACTGGCCACATAAAATCTTGTTTACAAAATATAAGGAATGTGTCTGAATCAGTGAGAAATTGCATTCATTATCAAACACACTTTAAAAACAATTACCATATACATGTTCCAGGATGTCAATTCCTCTGTTTAAGGCAACATATGACATACTTTTTTTTCGATGTAAAAATATAATCAATAAGAATTTACTAGGAAAATTCATATTTTTGTAAAACGTTTAAAAAAATTAATTTATCAAATATATAAAATAGATTTCATATGAAAATTGATCTTTTCTTAAGACTGTAGGACATTTACATAAAATAGATTTTCTTAAAACTGTAGGACCATTTACATAAAATAGATTTTCAGTTACAAGCCAAAATAATTTATACTCTATGAAGGTCAGATAAAACAATACAAGTTAAATGCTTGTTAGTAAAACTTCTCAATAATGGTAATATCACAAAGTTTGGCAAAGATATGCAAATATATCATCAACATCATAGGAAAAATATCAAACATAGAAACTTATAAAACAATCATTTAATGCAATCACATTCCCACAATAAAAACTTTTTTTATGGTCTCACCATTTCTGTATAATTTAATTCTGTTTATTACTGATACAGTAACATTAATTTTTAAGTGATTAAGACTTTTTTTTCTTCAATTCTCGATTTAACCCTTAATCTGCTGAATGATCTTAAGTGGACTTGTCCAGCTTCCATATTGGAACTGTCCATTACCAATTTTAGGGAAATCAGGATAAAAATTCCAAGTTGTTCATCCAACATTATAAAGCTTGGTCAGACTGCACAGATGTGCTGACAGGTCTAGTTCTATATTGGTCACAATGGTATATCACCTTAGGTTCTCGCAGCATAAGGGTTAAACTAAAACTGTAACAACCAGAAATCACTGTAAACATTATTAGAAATACAACAGACTTACAACAAAACACATAGATAGGACACTATACCTTAACTTATACCTACACAATTATGCTTTATCTAATTTTCAAAGTAGCCAAGTCAAAATATATGTTCTTCCCAAAAAGTCGTAAAAGTATGAAATAATCAGTGATCTTCTGTTTTTCTAACAGATATTATGAAAAAGGTAATATATCAGTTTAAGTATTGAATATTTAACTCCATAAATTAGGAAACTTAAAAAAAATGTGATTGAAAGCCATTATGATTAACAGCAAGGGTTGTTTTGAGGTGACCTCGTGGCATCCATTAAAATTTTGATATGAACAATATAGCTTATTTCAACTAGAAAACACATAATTACATAACAGAGTCATGAAAATGTTAGTGTATAGTCAGTAACTGATAGATGTACACCATATACATCTTCTAATGAGAAGATTATGTTAGGTGGTATGTAAAAACATAAAATTTCATAATATTGTAGCAATGTGGCAGATAGTTACATTTCTTACATGTATGTATAATCTTGTTTGACAGAAATATCTATTTTAAGGTAATCACATAAAAGATTGGTCCTTTCTTGTTGTTTTGTTGTAATTCTGTTGTAAAATTATCATGCAATCCCAATATTTTCATTCATTAAAGATTTATGTCTAATATTAGCTTCAGTAGAATTATGTCCGCCACTTGATAACTTTGGAGGAATCATTAACTGTGAAGCAATAAGTTCAGGTGACTTTTCTGTACTCTGACCTCCCGCAGATGTGTAAGACAACGCGGCAGCCCATGATGTTTCAGAATTTAAATCTGTTAAATTTTGTGGCACACTTCGATGATTTTCTGACAAATTGTTATTTCCAGTTGTCAAGTTAGCTAATTGTGCATCTAAATCAAAACTTTCACTATGCCAGCTAAAAGGTCTGTGGGAGTTGAAAGAATTGTTAACTAAAGTTCCTGTCGAGCTACCAGGGTAGCCTGATATTGAAAGTCTACGCACATCTGTATCATGAGAGATTCGGGAAATTCGTGAATCTGTTGAACAAATCGAAGACATATCATAGGAGCCTGCGATACTGCCAGATCTACTGTGAATAGGTTGTAATGTTTTGTCATTGCATAGTGCGGTAATAAATGGAAGTGAAAATGCGTGAGATTGACCTCTAATCTCCTCAATCTCAGGGTGAAGAATTTCCTTCTTGTTCATCACTTTTATATGTGTTGGCTTTCCTTTCTTCTTGTCTCCGGTCTCACTAACCTGTACCTCCGGATCAGTTATCTGTTGAAGAAGACAATATCATATCAATAAATACTAAAATCATAGCAAAATGTAACAACAAATAAAGTTATCAAGTAAATATAACTAGCAATTAACTAGTCCAATCATAGCAGACATGCGAGATTACAACGAAATTCGGCAGCATTCATTAGAGACACTGGGAGGTAACTCTGGTGTTGATTTTTGTTTTAGAAAAAAAAAATGTTTTGAATTATGTTAGTTCTGGCTTCCATAACTTTATACGTTGCTTTTATTTTGACGTTTGGTCTATCAGTACTATAAAAGTCTTTAGCAAGAAACATGTGTGCATTCGATATCCGATATTTAAAAAATGGAATCGATATGGAATCGGATAACAAAGATCATTGATACACCGATATCGATTGAATCGATTACACCCCTACCTTGGTGTATTATTTTTGGCACAATTGGGCACTATTGTACAGTAGAACCACTTATATCTGGATAAATTCCTCACATGAAAATTCTTGTGATAAGAAGCCACCTTTGTGAGGTGCAAATATTTTGAAGTGAGCAACCACTTGGCCACAAAATTCACCTAATAATCTTCTACTGTTAATACTAGAAGTAAATCATTAGATGAGAACATCGTACGCAATCAAAACTACCACTTCAAGTTTTTTGCAGTTAAATAAATCTTAACTGACCTAGTATAGCTACATTTTAAATTAATTAATTTTTGAAGTATTTCTTTCCTTTATCCCATTTCAAAAATCTTCCCTGTATACAAATTTGATGTCTCTTTCATTTTGGGAGTTTTGAAATCATACCAGCATCAATAGCCATGATCAAAGAGTAAAATAATGTACATGTATATCGTTCAAGACTCGGTACATAATTATGATGATTCAAACTTTTCAATTTCACTGTGATTTTAATAAAGTAGACAATACTTAAATAATAGCAAATGTTTTATACCTTTATATCCATAGCATCATGGGCTGCATCATGTTCAGGTAACTGTGTGACTGCCAGTTCTGATTGTTTCTCGGTCTGCAGGTGTTCTACAGGTATATCCTTCAATGCTTGCTCATCTGAGAAGGGTATAGGTGGCAGTAAAACCTCTTCAGCTTCCTGTAACATCCCATCATCACTCTGATAACTGAGGTCTGAAACTAAACCTTCACTACTGTGGTAGCTTAAGCTAGAATCTGGCAGTAATCCATCCCCACCTCCTATATGAATAGCATCTAACAACATAGCATCACTGCTACGGTAACTGGCCACTGAATCTTGTGATAACAGTACAACATTCTCATAGTCATGTGATGTCACTGTACTCATACTTGTGTGTTGTGATGAATGCGTTGACAGATCACTACCGAAAGATTTATGAGTTCTGTGGTCGGAAGACCCTGACCTAGATACTGACCTGTGAGGATAATCTAAATCCTCCATGTGGAAAGACGGTACATGCTTCAACTCAGGTGTATCAACCAAATGCGGTTGATTCGGTGGTAACATACTGATATTTAAGTTTTGATGAGCTCTTAGTTCTGCTAAAATATCTTTAAAACTGTCTTTTCGGCTTGCACTACGACTTGATGGCTGAGAAGAAGTTTTCTCTCTTGCACCGGTTTCAACCTGTATCTCAGAATAGACAGGTATAACAGGACTATAAACACCCGACTGTGTCGGCGGCTGCTGCTGCTTGTATCTTTTTCTGTAACTTCCACTACTACTACTATCCAATGAATAAGCCTCTGATTGGCCACTCCCACTACGATCTGATTGGACACTGCCTGAACTAACATTGTTCTGATTGGTTAATCTATAAGGAGGGGAGTGTATTGGCACTCGATTGGAAGGGAAGGTGTATGCATTAAACTGACTGCTATGATCTAATACAGGACTTCTATTGGCACCTGGTAGCGGAGATGGTTTATAACCTAAAAACACAACATACCCAATAAGATACATGTAAAATTAGTCATAGTAAGTAATCTTAGGTGTTCAAAAAAGATAGAATCAACTCTTCTGAGATATTTTCTATAAAAGAAATTATATTCACTTAGAAAATTTGTTTTACATATTGAACATAGTTTGTTCATTTAATATCAACTTGAAAATTGTATTATCATACATAATATTATATGATATATTAATATGGTGCAGAATAAAGAAATGTAAATTTCATTAACAAATCAGGCAAAACAAATATTTTATCTATAAATATCCCTGACCTGGAAGAGTTGACACAATTTTGCTCCTTGTCTGACTAGGTGTATTCAGTAACATTCCTGATGGCATTGGCGGTGCATCTATAATAATTTCACGATCTGTAACATATTCATGTATGTCCCTTTTACATTTTGTTATTGATAACATACTTTTCAATTATGTATTCTTTAATATAAAAAAATACTGATATACTAATTTTTTTTCTAAGCTTCAAGGAGTTCAAATATAAATCTTAAAATTTCAATCAAGTTTTATGATAAAACATAAATTTATAAATAACTGAAAAAAAGCGACCTATTTAAGTTCAAATGTCAAAAAAACCTACTTTTACCAAGTTTACAAATTATTTACATGACTTCAATTTAAAAGAATGTCAATTATCTATTGGCTACACTTACCATCATTTTCTTCAAAACTGACTGTCATTTTATCACTGGCTATACCAGATGTAGTGTTAGAACTTGTATCACTAACTACAGAATAACGATTACCCATTGCTGTTTTCGAGCGTGGTGAAATATTTGAACGTAAAGATCCAGGTGTATTAACTACATCCTTTGGCTCACCATGTACATATGATTCTCTATATCGCCTTTTATCTGTTAACAAAAACAAAAATTATTATATCATGCATATAAATATGTTTCCCATTTTTCATGAAAATGTTTATCAAAAATATTTTATAAAATCTGTTCTGATATCATATATAATATTTGCTTAAAATTTCAAATCTAAAATGGGTAACTAAAATTGCTTTTTCTCTAAATCTGTTGAGGAATTCCTGCTATTCAATGCTAACAGTCAAACAACATTAACAGTAATTGTACCTCAAAAATATTTGTCATAAGCCAAATCCGAAAAAAATTGCTTGATCAGATTACTACAATAACTATGTAAAATGAAAATTATAAAATCTTTACGATAGGTTTTAATAAAGTGAACCATTTTAGACCAAATGCCTTACCTTCTTCTTCCAAATGCCTAATCTCCATTAACTTTGGTTGTATAGCCATTTGAAACATGTGTGTATTCCTTGATAAAGTTAATAAATACTTTGATTTAACATCAGAGTCTGTGTAGTATGTGAACTTTCTACCTGATGGCAACCCAACTGACCGGATTTCAAATTTCTTTTTCTGTAATATACAATATCATCTTTATAAATATTATATATATAACAAGATGCTGTAAGGGAGATAAATCAGAAATAATATAATAACAAGTAATCTGCCCTTTAACAATCAAAGTTAAATTTGATCATTTTGAAGTTACTGATCATAAGTAAAACTTAACTGGCAAAATGCCATAGATGTCCATTACTGATTAAAAATTGTAACAAGGGCAAAACTGTGAACATATATATTTTTAGATCCCTGCCTTTTTAAAATTGATCCCATTTTCACAATTAACATGCATTCCATGTTAAATCAGACTATTTTTCAATGGCTTTTGAGATGTATCTCAGTTATACTAATTTTCTTTCAAAACTGGAGCTAATATTGATTGATTGTAATTCATAGTCTACCAAATATATATAACTTACATCAAATGTTAATTTTCCTATATCTGGCCATAAAAATGTTGATATCAAATCTTTAAACCCATCTTCTAAATCCTGTAAAAAAACAAAAATGTTTTCTTAATTATACAAGACAATACACCTGTATATTACCAAATACAAAATGAAGTCATACTGTATGTGAAGAAAAATTAAAGAATGTATTATATATGAAATCATGATTTATGTAATAATAAAGTTTTTCTTGCAGCTGTACTTTTAAATGGAGATCTTTATCAATTTTTATATGTCATAAAATCTGAATATCAGGTTCAGTTGTTGTGTTAATCACCTCATAAATTTCTATTCCTTTAGCACATATTCCAAGCCAGGCATTCCAAGCTTTATCTGTCTTTTTCTTGCGAAGTCTATAAAAGTGAAGATTATGTGGCGACGGCGGTACAGATGACTCCTTAATAAACCTCCATTCTGCTTCACTGCGAGACACACTCTGTAGATCTTTGTGCACAACTGGCGTGTTATTTACAAGATACGCCTTACCATGCATTTCTACCATCTACAATAATAAAAAAAAAATCGACATTATTTTTAATCATTAAAAGACAGCGATTTTTATCATTTCAGTTTAAAAGGTAAAGAAAACAATTTATTGTAAATATCTATCATTAATATCAACACTTGAACAGGAAAAGCCCTTCAATTATTCAAAATTCTGAAGACCTTAGCCTAGTAGTTCTATATAATTGTTACTCTTCAAAGTCAAACATTTATAACCACTTCACATCTTCAAAAAATGGTCGCAAAACATTAAATCAAACAGTGCTCACTCCTGCGTTACATTCTATATTAGAAACCTAGTATGTTCATTAATTTAAGACATAAACTCTATACTTCAGTGGATAAATCATGTATATATGAGTTATTCAAATATGACTTTTATCAGAATCTACAGGTGATAATTAAATATACCCATTGGATCAGTGCAGACGAAGATTAACAAGCTCATCTATGCCCTGTGATTATAGCCGTCACTGTTTGCAGTCAGTACATAATTTCAATTTTCCCTTAAATGAGGAAAGCTTTTATCCCGATTAAAAAATGGAATAGTCTATTTACAATATTTAGCATGGTAAGGGTTAGACAGTTTTACATGACCTACCCAGGCAGGAAAGTACTCCCTTGGGTCAAAGTAGTTATCTTGTACCACTGATGACTGGTAGTTACCAAAATCTGCTTGGAGAGCATACCCTGCTATCTGGAAACACTTCTCCTCTAAACTCCCATGGTTGTAGTTTAACACATTATCTTTTAGTTGTAAATAATAGAGGTGACGAGTTACTTTCTCCCTACAAAAAAAGTTAATTTACACTAATTTTTCTTTTTTAATATCTTTTCTAAATTTGAATAATGGATTTTCCCTGCATTCAATTGGGATCTGTTCATTGTTGTTTTAAAGAATTGTAGTACCAGAGTAATAACTATGAGCAAATAACAATGTAGAGTCTGGCACTGAAAATATGTTCAAGCTTGCTTTTAAATCTACTAACAACGCACTTTAACATCAGTTTCAAGAATCAAATTCTTTTTCAAGACAATTTCAGATTAAGAAACCACATATTTTACAAATAACAGCCTCATCATCATATGGCCGAAAACGAACTGATTTGAGATGCGTCACGACAAAACCCACATAGTGCGTTTGCGACCAGCATGGATCCAGACCAGCCTGCGCAGTCTGATCAGGATCCATGCTGTTCGCTATCAGTTTCTCTACTTGTTATAGGGTTTGTAAGGGAACAGCATGGATTCTGATCTGGATCCATGCTGGTCACAAATGCACTATGTTGGTTTTGTCGTGACATGGCTCATTTGGTTTCAATTTGCTAGATTTCTTATTTGTAAGTATAGATACATACCTTAGCAGCACCACTTGGTCCACATAGAACTGTACACGAAAATATAATGTGAGTATTGGTTTTCCATGACCATCAAACCCCTAGGAAACAAAAGACAAAATAAACAATATTAAGCTCCAGTGTATATATAATTATCACCAATTAGTGCTTGTGTCAGTGTTATACATTTTTAATCAGCTTCACTTTTATCTTGATACTTTGTCATATTTTTTTTTACTTTCTCCGGTCTTGAATTCCAATAATATAGTTCAGGTCATACTTATAGCATTTTCCACTTTTTCCATGAAAAATATGTTCAAGCTAGCTTTTAAATCTTTTAAATGATTCAATGTTGATTTTAAAATATTTGTTTATCTCGTTGTTTTTTTTTAACGAAGATTTTATAAACAGATTGTTTTAGTCATATCTCAATGGTTGATCCAGCTCACTGACTTTCCTGGATAACTAATCCGTAATTACCATTTTTTCTGCAAGTGACAAACTACTTTTCCCACATGATTTCTGAATCAACAGTGAGAGACAAAAGGCCACAAGACTCCATGTCCTAGATAAATTGTCATGGAGAAATTATTCATTGACTGATGATCTAACCAGCAACTCATGGATTACTGATCCAATGCTTTACCAATTGAGCTAAGCGAGCAGACAGCTCCATTGAGATGAAAGCAGTAAACTTTCACATGTACAATGGTACCCAAGTTTTAACACCTCCCCTTTGTATATAAGGTATATATATAAGATATCTCAACATTCAGGTTCAGTATAAGAACTATATCTGAACTTACATCTCCAGGTCCAGCCTTCCAAGTCTTGTGTGCATGTTTATGAACCTTGTCATCATTGGATACAAAATGGTATTCCCCTTCTACAAAATTTAAAAAAAAAATTGAATTTGCAAAGATATATTATACAAGCACATTTGTTTGTTTCATTTTACGCCTTTTCCCAACAGTATTTCAGTCATATAGGCGGGTAGTTTCCTAACCATTGTTCCTGGAGAGTTACACCAGTACTAGAAAACCTTCCTCCGTGCTAAACTATCAAAGCATCTCCCGGGGATCGAACCCAAGCCAGAGAGGTAACTGGATTAGAAGTCATCGACTCTAACCCCTCAACCAAGGAGGGCGGTTATACATATGTATTATTGCACCATACCTTTTCTTCCCTTCAAAACTAAAAATCGAAACCCCCCCCCCCCCCCAAAGAAACCAGCATGTTTACTTTATATCAAAATAAAACCTAATGATGGAATAGTAAAAAGATTAGTAAATATATATCATTTTTACCCTTAACCTGCTCAAATGAAAAGTAATAACCTTTGCCACCAGCATCCATACAGTCTAACCAGGTTCTTTACTGTTTGTTGACAAACTTTAGTTTTCATTTCATACGATAAAAAGTTAATGATGAAAAGTTCTAAAAACCCAGCTGGTTAAGGGTTAGCATTATAGAGAAATTACAAACTATAGTTACCTTTCTTAAATGCAAGCCCAAAGTATTCAGTCTCTCTTAATGTAAGATGTGTCGCTACTTGGTTGAAAACATCTTGGAACTTTGATTTTACCTGAAATATAAATTTGAAGAGTTAATATAATATTGTTATCTTATTGAAGTTATTCTTAATAATTAGTTTAACTGTAAAAAATTCACTGCATCATAATTTATTTTAAACAATTATTTAAAACATTCAAGGGCAGTATTTCCAAAGCTGGAAAAAAAATTAAATGTTCAAATTCATTATCTTAATTGCTATCCTATTAAATGATACTTTTATACTACACATTGTAGAAATATAACATTTATATGTATACTACATTGTAAAAAATATTAAATTGTAGGATCTGGTATATACATATTTATAATGTTAATATAAATAATTACTTACATCAACATAGCAAACATATTCCTCTTTGTTTAACAGCTGCACACACACTGCTTTTCTTTTTTTCCCTAATGTCTGTGACCCGGATAGTGTAGACATTGTATGCCTCTACCCCAATACGGCTAACATAGAGCCATTTAAAATACAACTAACCACTATTGTCATCACCTAAAACAAACAATCAATGTTAGTAGACAGAACAATATGTCAACTAGAAACTGTACACACCAAGATCCATACTGTAAAAATTAGAATCACAATATTGATCATTTTATTCAATTAAAGAAAGAATGTCTGGGTAAGAACTGAAAGTCACAAGATCTGGATTATTTCAATTTACATGACACAAGGGAAGAAAAATTTATCTGTAAATAAGGAAACTAACATTAGCAGTAAAACTAATAAAAAAGCATAAATTAGTTAGGTCTTAATGAAAAATTGTAATAGTAAAAATTAGGATAATACTGGCACAATAATACAGCAAAAGTGATGCCATCGTAAAAAGTTTCGGACAAAATAAATGTGACTATTACATTCTATGCTGAGATCTTAGTGAACTTAATCCTTAAACTATCAGGCACAGATCCAGAAATTTTTAGTAGGAAGATGGGGGGCCTTAAGTTTGAAATAACCTAACCCTTCTTACCAGGTATCTTCTCCTAGGTATAAAAAGAGTTTAAAACTATTTAAGCAATAAAGTTAAATATACAAATCCTGATAAAACATTATCATCACATTCATGAGGGCTATCACTACTTTAACAATAGACCTACTAAGCGGCTCTTTTCTTAAGACTAATTTTTACTCAGTATCATTCAAATGCTGGAATCAGCCTCTACATTGACCAAGAGTAATCTACTGAAACTGCCCAATGACCTTAAGTATATTAAATATAAGGCCATCCTTACAAATATATCTGTTTGCTATTGCCGACCCGGGGCTACAAGGAGTGGGTCAGTAGGTAGGCTTTTTTTTTATATATGATTTTCATGGAACTTTTTGTGATCAGCCACCTCATATTTGCTTCTTAGGATATAAGCACCCCAATCTATAAATGAATCACAGGACATCTGCCCCCATTGCACTCTTAATCTTATGTTTAAATTATAATGCATTTACTTAAATAACAATGCATTTATTGTCGTATTTTTACTTAAACATGAGCTAAAGACAACAAATACCAGTACTTTTAACAAATTCCCAATCTGACATCTGCCTACCCACTCCCACTCTATTAACAAATCAATGGACATTTGCACCCCAAACTCTAGTGAAAATATATCTGTTATATAACGTGAAAAAATACATTATTTTCTACAAAACAAGTTGTGTGTTCCTGTGTATTAACTGTATTTGATCACAAAGGAATAGGCTATGAATTACCTTTTTATATAAAACTTCAATTGAGAAACATGGACAACTTTGTAAATTAAAATATATATACTGGCTTGGGAGTAGTTCCCATACAAAATAAGTACCTGTATTTTTTGTGTAAATGCCCTTTTTTTTCATGCATGCTTTAAAAATTGGTATCAAATCATGCAGATTTACACAATAGACAAAATCTAAGTGTCAGGTCGGCAGCAGATACAAGAAGTTTTCATTTTAAAATACTTTCACTTGTTTGTTGTAAAAACCTGCACTTGGATACATTGGGGGCTTAAAAAAAAATTGCCATATGAGTTTTTCAATAATACCACCTATGTACAGACAGATAAGTGGGCAATATGATGAAAACTTGTTTAAATATCAGAATTTTGCCCTTTATTACCATATTTAATAACTTTATGGCTTTACTGAGTAAAATTTCATGAATACAAGCTTTTCATTGGATATAAATGTGTTGGGATAACAATGTCAGCCTTCAGTTCATGCTGTATTTCCTGAATGACATACATGTATCTACATGCATTTGCCTCTGGAACATAGTTTTTTCAAGTTCAACAATTATAAATCAAAAATAGGACTGATATTACAACAATTGTATAATTGGTATGGGCAGGGATTTTTTTTTGCTTATTTATAGCCGATATTTGGTCATACATGTATTCCCAACTGAAAATAGTGTATTATTTTCCCAATACATAAAATATTCCCAATTGAAAGTTACAAAATAAATATATTGAATAACAATTTCTAAAAAATTTTGAAAGAAACTTAGTAAGGGCTTCTTCACTGTTATGGTGCTCAAATGTTTGAGGTTGCCATCCTACTCCTAGACAGCAATTCTTTATATTCATGCAATTACTGCAAAATTTAAATCATGCATTTTTCCCAATTTTTATCAAAACATTGCTAAAATTCCCAATTCCATGGGTATGGGTCATGTTCCCAAATCCTGGAAAAAAAATTCTGATGGGTCATATATTATGCAAGGGAACTACTTCAACTTGTAGTACTTCTCTTCATATAAAATAAAAGGTCATTAAATTGTTGTGTAACAATCAATTTTTTGGTGAGTGAGCGTATAAAAACATAAATTTTATTAAATAAACTATAAAGTATAATTTTTGTACTCAAACTACTTGCATGCCAGTATATTTGTATCATAACCTTTTGACAAACTTTAAGCCAAGTATTTGTTTAATGGCTACATCATAGTACTATTAGTAGACATGTTTATCATTATCACTTTACCAAACCATGAATTTGAGTAACTGTAATAACATCTATGCTCCTTGTATGCATGTTCAATTTTAATTAAATAACCCTCTTAGCTTTTTAATGACCTTTGAAATTTTATACATGGGGTCAATATTTTTATGATCCGCTAAAACTCAGACTGGAAGAAACACTGAAATATTAAATTTGTATTTTATCAAATAATTTAATCAATATTTTAAAAGGCAAACAGACTGATTTAGTTAACATTAATAATTTTATTGATCTACAGAAGAAAAATGCTGTTTGTATAGTCACAAAGGAATCAGGGTCAGCTCCGCCCTCCAACGTACTTGGGCTGGCCACTTTTCAATTTATTAATATATTGGTTTGTTTTATTACAAATAATTTAAGTTAAATACAATGTAGGAAAAGGACTGTTATTATCAACCGGCACCACTATTATTACCAATTAATTTACCACGTGTATGTAAATGGTACCGAAAAATCAGTTGATAATTATGATTGACGCAATCATTCAAAATTGATTTATGACACCTGCAACTAATTAGAAGCTTATTATAATAAGTAAGTAATAGACAAAGCATCGAAACATGAGGCTATCTGATTTGTACAAGGGTGGCAGTGTTTTGCTGTTCTTTCTCTTTTGTATCATAGTCAAATATAAAAACACGTACCCTGTTGTCACAATATGAAACCCCAGAAAAAAGTAACCAATGAACGAGCATCTGAATATGATATTTCTATGATCTATCGCTTTCCCTTTCTCTGCTGTCAGTATAAGTAAAGGAAGTGGCTAGCCGTACGGGCCCGTACGGCTAGCCAAAAGTTCTAGCTGTACGTGAGTCACGTACGACTAGCCAGGACTCGCTGCATTGTCTAGCCGTACGGCACTTTTCAAATTTATATAGAAGCCGAAAATACATATGTTATTTCATGACTTTAAGCGAGGATTTTAACCAAGAAATAGTAATTGTCTTCGTATATTTACTTTAAATAGAGATTAATCGCCTTGTTGGCTACAGTAAAAAAAGTACGAATATCGATCTTTATCATCTCAAGACATCGAGAAAAAATAGCGTTAGGTCGCAGTTAAATAACATCAATTGAAATAGTTTACAAAATTTTGATAATAATCCTTTTTTGTTTCATAGAGTTTAATTTTCGACACCTTTAAAATGAAAAAAAAAAGAAAATAATTATTGTTAGGCTCTGATATTTGCGTCAATTACCGACGGTATAGAAGTTTGTCCACCATTAAGGAAAGTTTGCATGTTCCGTGAAACGCATTTTAAAATTCTATTGTCAGTCCCTGGGTAGGCTTTAATTAAGGCTTATTAATTGATTGTGCTTTTATGTTCGATATTTATCTTCTGTATTTGAAAATTATACAATTATTTTTGCTTTTCACAGGTTTTTTTGTTGTTCTTTTTATTTATTTATTTATTTATTTATTCCACTCCGATCATTATTTATTCGATCCATGTGCTTAATTAACCAAAAAACATCTTTCAGTCAAATAAAACAACAAATCATAATCATGAGGCACAAAATAACACATGCATGATCGACTTCTATATAATTTTGAAAAGTGCCGTACGGCTAGACAATGCAGCGAGTCCTGGCTAGTCGTACGTGACTCACGTACGGCTAGAACTTTTGGCTAGCCGTACGGGCCCGTACGGCTAGCCACTTCCATAAGTAAACCCCAGACTATGATACAAACTGTGTTTATGTCAAATAATTTTAATTTTATTGATTAATTGAAGATCACTTTACAAACAAAAAGCATCAAAGGAAACACATTTGTATTATACAATTTATATAAATTTTCAACAAATCTGCAAGAATAAGGGTAACAAATTTCTTTAAAATACTTTAATTCAGCAGATGTAAAATGTACAACTAAATAATAATATACCAGATATCTCTTACTACATTTAAAACAGCTTGCCTTGATAACATGCAAGTAATCACTTAAAAGTTTTAAATATATTTTTTTAAAAAGTGGGCCGAGTTGACTTGTGACGATTTGGTTAAGAGCCGAGTAGAGTCCTTACTGTCACAAAGAAATTTAAACAAAATTTTAACACAGGCAGTTCAAATAAAACAAGTTATGTGACAATTACTTTATTATCAATACCAATGGCATTACATTTAACATTTGGGAGTCAAAGATTTAAAGTCCAGTATGTCTTGGAGCAAATGATAAATAAAGTCATTTAATTTTCTCTCCAGTATATTCAACTTTATTTTGTTATTTAAGTTTCTAACAGACTAATATGTTGCAAACATATCCTTCTCAGTTCTAATGACCATTTTTATAAGATTCAATAAAGTTTATCATTACACATTAAAAAATACACAACCCTAAAATAGATAATATTTCAAGAACGTGTTTTGCTTTGTGACCAACCCCTTTGAAATGTTTAGCATGCAACACCTAGGACACCTGTGGAATGTGCACAGTATTTCAGTATTAGTAGCATAATCGTATGAAACAATAAGGCAAATCGGGAGCAAATGAGTTATTTTATTGAATAAATTACCATTAAAAGGTTGATAATGATGTGAACATTGTTGAATTAGATAAATTCCAAACATTCCAATCGTCTTTACTCTTCTCCAACAGAGCCTCGTTTTGAAGTGTAAACTTAATCTCTAAAAAACAATTCTGTTTTAAAAAGAAATTATTAAGATTTAAAGAAAATAATTTAAAATTTCGGAGAAATTAAATATAATTCTTTCAATTATATAAAATTGTTTTATAAAATAATGTTTTTAAAAGACATATTAAAAAGCATACGTTTAAAGACTATCTTTGTTGGGTCGCGAAAACTGGTAATAATTGAATTGAACAGATATTGCAAAGTTTAAGATGATTTCAGTGATGAATGAGAAGTAATTTGCATTTGAATTATCTTAAAGTGTACAGTGACACACATATGTTTCATTGAAAGTTGTCAATAGCGATTGCATCGAGTAGTAACACATGCCTCTCAAGTGCTTGTGTAATCGGATAGTAGCTGTTGGCGGATAATCTGGCAGATATATATTTGAATCTAAATAATTGTTTTTCATTTGCATATACAATTAAGTACTGTTTTAAACAGAAATAAATGTTGAAAATGTTTTCCCGTTTGTGACATCTGTCAGTCTATTTTAAACTTTTCTCTCACTTTTAATCCTCACAAATGCAGAACAGTCTAGGGGGGTTGAATCATGGTCATTATAATTTCTCAGCTTAATATGAAATTAAGCGTTTTAGAGGTAGCATTCGGTATTTCATGCACCGCTTCAGATTTCTCTTGGAAACTCGACTTTTATAATAATATGAAAAGCAAAGCCTATGAAAGGGGAAGTCAATTAATTTTCCGTTTTAAAGGTGTCATTCGGTATTATATGCACCGCTTCCGTTTTCACTCGGAATACTTGACGATTATTTATCCGAAAAGTTGCGATTGTCCGTTTTTTTTATTTGATTTTCTTTTAAATATACGCATGTAGTCTATAGCCGGGCAAGCCAAAGCCCAGGCCCGCTTCGCGGACCCGGCCTTTGACTTCCCCGTATTAATATGAAAATAGGCAAAGACTTAAACGAGAAAGTCTGTTAAAAAAGCGTTCATTTTTCTGTTTTAAAGGTGTCATTTGGTATTTCATGCACAGCTTCAGTTTTCAGTCTGAATTTTCTTTTAAATATACACATGTAGTCTAAAGCCGGGCAAGCCAAAACCCCCAGCCTGCTTTGCGGACCCGGCCTTTGACTTCCCAGTATTATATTAACAGATATTTTTGCTTGACATTTTCGGGATCTTGCTAGACATGTCACTCCGCCCAGGACAGTTATCCTTCCAAAACTTTAAAAATGGCCATTATTTTTGTTATACTTCAAGGATGATCTTCATTCTTGGACATAACAACCATTTGAACAAGACCTTCAAGGAGACCAGACTGGACTTGACCTTGACACAGTAATAACCTTGACCTTCAAGGTCATATATTTGATTTTTGCTATTTGGCTATAACTTTGTTATTTATGAATGGATCGTCTTTATACTGTTAAAGACCTTTAAGTAGGCCAAATTGAATCTGACCTTCACTAATCAATGACCTTGTCCTTAAGGTGGTATTAAACATTGTCTGCTTGACCTCTACCAAGTTTGTTTAAATTGTAGTTCTAAGCCTAAGGTCAAAATTGACCTGACCCCAGAGGTTATGTGTTTTCGGTATATGTCTATGGTTAAAATTTAACAACTTTTCACCTGAAAATTCACAGGCTATATCTTAGATATTTGGCATGAAACAATTTATAGTTGACCTTTTCCAATTTTTTTGAAATTGTAGTCCTTGTCCAATTTTAATTAGCCCCACTATGACCAGAGTTCATGACCCAGTGACCTGCTTTCTGTATTTAAAGCTTCAGGTATGAAATTTGTACTAGATGCACATGTGCATTTACAGCTGCAAAATTAAAAGGTAAAATATAAGTTGACTTACTTACTGATCCAGTGACCTACTTTTTTGTAATTTAGAGCTACAGCTATAAAATTTGGACTAAATGCACAGTTTCAGACTTTGACATAAGTTGACCTAGATTTTGATGCATGAACTTACATTTTGTAAGTATTGCAGCAATTTGCTACAGCTCTGAAATAACTAGACTAAATGCAAATTTTCTGATGCAACCTTCAATTTTAAGGTTAATGATTGAATACTTGGCCAACATTTGAAATTGCTTGACAATTTCAGCCAATTAAATTGACAGACAAGAACATCAGATGATCTTTATTGTTGTTTATTGATGTATGAAACATACTAGTCTGTAAAAGAAGTTTTAAGTAAAGGTGATTTCATAAAATCTTTCATTTATTTCAGGTAAAGATGTGTGAAGTTGATAACAAGCTCTTAGAGTATGTGTTTAGCAAAGATCAAACTATTTTGGAAGAATTAAAAACTCACAGGTAGGAAAGAATTGTTACCCTTAAGCATATGCATTCTTTTTATTTCTAATGAAGTCTACATAATAAAATATATTGTAGTTCCTACCAGTTCAGCTAGTAATTTTGATGAAATATATTGTTATTTTAAAAGTTTGCCATGGCAAAATGAAAAAAATTAGAGAATGCAATAAAAACATAACAATAGCACCAAGAACATGTCATAGGATAAGTTTTAGAATGTTTTGGGATGTTTTAAAAAAATAATTGCCATGGCAAATTTGCCATAGTAAATGTAGGAAAAATCTTGCCATGGCAATTCTAATTTGCCATGGCAAAATGCTGAAATGCCATGGCAAACCACACTTTGCCATGGCAAATGCAAACTTTAAATGCATTTTTACAAAAAAGTATTAAAGATAGAAAAACAAATCATATTAACTTTTAAACCTATTGGTAAAAATGACAATTTAAGATAGTTTTCATTTTTTTAAAGCACGTAAAAATAGGGGTTGAATTTGCCAAAAACCGGCTCGGCAAAAAGAAACCGGAAGCTTTTTTTAAATGTTTATTTGTTAGTTAAATATAACTGGTTTCAGTATATAACAACAGACAGTTCCAATAGTTAAAAATAAGAAAAGTTCATTTAATTAAGACAGTGGTCTGAGCAGGCAAAAGATTGAAATAAATATTATTAGGTTTTTAAAAAGGGCAATTATATGACACTGTTTACACTTACAGAATGAGATTTTGGTTGAAATAATTTAATATGGTTTCGTTAAAAAAATTTATCTGTTTTTATGAAATATATTAAAGGCACATTATGCCTTAGAAATCCATATTTTTTTAATTCTTGAAAAATGTCAAACATGTGTTTAATAATGTTTTAATAATGGATTAAGAACATGTTATATATTTAACAACTAAAGAAGTAGTGCTGAACATGCAGTAAGGTGTTTGAAAGGTAGCAAAATGTAAAGAAAGTAGCATTTGACTTCCGTACAAAATACTAATTCAAGATAATTATACCAATTACCAACATAACAAAATCAGCAACATATTGTCTATGTATATGGCAAATGAGTATTTTTTTGAAAATTGTAACAAGAAACCAAAAATAAAACAATTTAGGGAAATAGATATTATAAATGTAGTATAAAGCCATTTCTGAAGCATAATGGGCCTTTAACATTGATTTTTCTTACTGACAGAAGTGGAGATGTGCACAGGCTGTTGAGGAGGCTTGATGCTGTAAGAAAGGATAGTTTGAAAAATGTTGGTACCTGGACCATTCCTCAAGTACACACGTTACTTAATGCTCTTGTGAAATGTTACCTTGATACTGCAGACTCCATCAAGTTATCAAGAGCTGTTGAAAAAGTAAGTCAATTCTATTAAAAATATTTATAAAAGTTTGCCTTTAAATTTTAAAATCACTCTTATATATTATTGGACCCTTCTGAGTTAAAATGGTCCAAAGGCCTATTTTGTTGTATGAAACAAAATGCTTGTATTAAAAGGAACTTCGCACAAAGAAAATAGCTACATGAAATCTTTTGGCTTCTTCCTCATTGAAGCAAGAGTCTGAGTGATCTTTGAAAAATAATAATTATTAATACATGCATTGATAAGTTAATAACACAAATTATCTGAAATATTTTTTATCATACCAAGTATTTTGTTTATGTTAGTTCACTACACAAAACATAGATCTTAAACATTACCAGGCTAAAATGTCTTAAACAGACTTGCCCATCCTTTAATCTGGAATTTTATGGTAATCAGTCATGTACTTGTTTGATTTAGTAAAGATTTTGCATTCACCTTCAATTAATGGTGCATTTTGCTGTTTGCTGTATAGTTATCATTTGAATATTGTAGCTATGGCAACCATTCCTGGAAGGTCATCAGGAATACTTAGACCATTGTTTAGAAGATTGTGTATTGTTGGTTATCAACACTTCAGGGGTTGACAGTCTACAGATAGCAAAAGGTACTGATTAATTACTTGATTTTTTTTCAAATTATGTATAATCTAAATTTGGCATTTTTCACCTATTTTAAAAACTGTGTTAAATATGATTTTTGTGTCACCTCTACGGAGTAGCGGCGACATATAGGGATCACTTCTCCGTCGTCTGTCTGTCCGTCTGTCCGTCCGTCCGTCACAAAACTTGTCCGGACCTAAACTACTGGTGCAATTTCATCCAAACTTTACAGGAATGATCAGTACCAAGTCTAGTTGTGCATATTGTCAGCATTTTCCGGTTCAGTGATTTTTGTCAGAGTTATGGCCCTTTAATAATTTTTAATTTTAAAGTTTGTCCGGACTACTTCTCTTATACCACTAATGCAATTTCAATGAAACTTTACAGGATTGATCTGTAGCTCAAGTCCTTGCGCATATTGCACGGGTTTTCCGGTTGAATGATTTTTGGCCGAGTTATGGCCCTTTGACAAAAAGGTGTTTTTTCCTGTCGTTGCCAGATACACAAAAGCTTGTCCGGACTACTCCTCATAAACTACTGGTGCAATTTTATCCAAACTTTACAGGAATGATCAGTTCCAAGTCTAGTTGTGCATATTGTCAGCATTTTCCGGTTCAACGATTTTTGTCAGAGTTATGGCCCTTTAATAATTTTTATTTTTAAAGTTTGTCCGGACTACTTCTCTTATACCACTAATGCAATTTCAATGAAACTTTACAGGATTGATCTGTAGCTCAAGTCCTTGCGCATATTGCACGGGTTTTCCGGTTGAATGATTTTTGGCCGAGTTATGGCCCTTTGATAAAAAGGTCTTTTTTTCTGTGTGTTGCCAGATACACAAAAGCTTGTCCGGACTACTCCTCATAAACTACTGGTGCAATTTTATCCAAACTTTACAGGAATGATCAGTACCAAGTCTAGTTGTGCACTGTCCGTCTGTCTGTCTGTCTGTCACAAAATTTGTCCCAACATGAAATTGGCCATCATGAGGCGACATATGTGATTACTGATTGCTCTTGTTATATATCATATTATCATATGTACGGAAAAAGTAGAAACAGTTAAATTGTTCTCAGAAGTAAAAAAATTTTGATTTTTTTTTTAATTCAGAAAAATTAGGTTATTTTGTATTGGGAATGCGGCCTTATATTGGCTCCAGGTGATTGGTTGAAAAGGCCCTGACAATGTGAAATAGCACATCAATGCTAGACTGTTGTGTATAAAGTTAAATGCAAGAGTGATAAGCAACCCGAACAACAGTAATCAAAGTAACACAATTATCAAAACAAGAAATGATGTATATTACCTGATGAAGACTTTTGAGTCGAAACGTTGTATATTTTTCAAATAAAATAATTACATTTTTAAATTGAAACTGGAGTTGATTTCTATATTTAAACTTACATTAGTATATTATATGTAAAAAACTGGCATTGGTCAGCTGTCTTACACTTGCTTCTCCCATATCAGAGATGGTAGTTACTTTGTGTAATAGCAAATCAGTAATTTGATGTCATGTCTGTGTCATCATGCATGAGAAGAATGGTATATTTCCCATATGTGTGAATTAGTTTCCTGTATAGCTATTGATCAAACTTCTTTCATGAAATATTTGTTATCTCCTTTTCTTGTTTTACAGTTTCTGTTTTATTGGAACAAAACAAAGTGGTCCAGGAAATATTTAGAGAAAACTTGACAAAAGTAACATCATGGCTGTCATCAGAGTTGTCTCCCTTGCTGAAACCACCTCCAGACAGTTTAACTCCAAGCCAGTCTCAGTGTCTACATGCCCTAGTAAAGGTAAATGTTTTTTGTTGTTTCTATGATTTATTACTTCAGCAGTCTTCAATAGATTTGCCTTATTGTATGTCAAAGGATGCATCTGCATTATTTGCTTGGTGAGAAGAGAATGTCTTTGATACAACTTGTTTAGTGCAGCAGTCTTCACATGTCTGCCAAATTGAATTTTTGCTGTACTTACTAATTGACAAGGCTAACTACATTGTCTTGGCAATTAACGAAAACACATTTTGCCAACTGATTTCAGATCTGTCTACAGTTGTTTCAAGTATGTACAGAGGAATTTGGTGTACAGATTTGGGAAATGGGTGATCAACAGTCACAGATGAATCAGTGTGTGTTGGCAGTTGTTAAAAGTCTTGTCTATATACTTCAAACTCAGGTGACAAATCTTTTACTCTCCTTACCTTGTTTTTGTGTATGAACAGATTATGTATGTTACTGGCATGATTACATGCAAACCAAACATTTGAAATGCTCTAGTATGATTTGCTTGGTTTAAATTGTTTTTTTTTTCTTCATTTACATGGATAGAGAAGAAAGCTTGTAGTTATGACTTCCTGAACATACCAGTGATAGTGTCAATAAGGAAACATAGTTTTGACCACAGAAATACTTGAACTCATGATTTCTGGCTTGAGAGGCCGATTTTTAACTTAACCATACATTTAATTGCAGGAAATCTGCAATATTCAGAATCTAAACTCTGTCTCTAGTATATATTAGAAAAAAGCCATGTCAAAAAATGTAACTAATCTGTGACAAAGTTTGTTAACAAAATCATAATTTTATGCATTTGTAATGCCTTGTTTTACTAGAAGAAACATTCTATTGAGAAAGAATGCTTAGTTGCTGATTGCTTTTGACAAACGTGTTAGATAATTGTGTAGTACATTAATCATATCAGTTTTTACCTGTAATGTTTTCATGCTTTAGAGTGATCTCTTTGTGTCTAAATGAAATGATATTTTCTGTTAAGTTAATGCAGAATTTGTTTTCATAAGCTATAAGCATATTAAATAGAAACACTTGGAACTAATTAGTATTAGTTTATACAAATTTAATTTAGTTTGATTGTGGAAGCTATAAGCTTATTGAAACACTCTCGAATCCATTCCTGGAACCAACCAGTACTAAGCAATGAATGTAAAGTTTCTTGCTCAAGGAAACAACTAGTATTAAGCAGTGACTGTAAGCTTTTTTTCTCAAGGAAATATTTTCTGGTTTTATTTTATTAAGGATTTGTTTTCAGGGTTATCACACAGACTGTGTGTTGTTGTCTGGTACTGCAACAGCTCTCATGTTCAACAGCTGTATGATCACAGAGAATGCTGTGAAATCATTCTCTATGCTTCTATATCAAGTCCTTAATGCAGGTATGTCTTCTGATTTCCTAGATATATATAACACAATTATTTAAGTACATCCAAACTGTCAGTAGCTTTATCAGTAATTAAGAGTCAAATAGAAGTGTAAGAAAGAAGTGCTTAGTGTTTTGCTTGATTGCAGAAAATATTCTTATATTAAAGCAGCTTAAAATTACACTGTTTTGAAAAAAACACTTTAATGGGGTTTAAAGAATGCTCATATTGCAGGGACATGTATGCCAATGTGCTATATTCCTGACTCTGTGAGTACATGTGTACATTGTACTTAAATTGTGTTTACAGATTCAGCTTGCACAGTAGAATTTCTTAAACAAGAAAATTGTCTAGATGCTGATCAACAACAGTGTGTGTATGACATTCTCAGCTCACTTACCCATGCTAAACTTGGACCTGTTTCCCTTATCCGAGGAATGGTAGCATGTGGAAGGACGGACATTTTGTTTGCTGATTCTCAAGCTTGTGCTGGAGATACAAAGATGTTATTTAAACAGCTGTATCAGTATATTTCTATTCTATGCAAGGGAGATATCACACTTCATTACCAAGCTTTCCAGATTCTCTTACTGTGGTATGCAAAGTTGACTAAATCTCCCTCTAGTGTGGAGAGCAGTAGTTTAACCTCCATTCTAGAGAGTACTTTAGATTTAGTAGTACTGAACTGGGACAGTCCAGTTGAAGATGTTCCTGAGGCAGTGGTGGATATATTTGCATGTATGATGACAGCTTGGCTGAAAGTGAAAGGTGATTCACTGATATATTCAAAGATATTTTCTGATTTTCTTTAACAATATTTTTGTTGATTATCTTATGTGTCAAAGATAGATTACAACATAGAATATTATATAATCATTAACAGAGTGACTGAGTCTATCTAATTGATTAAAGCTATTGATAGGATTTTTTTATAAGCTTGTTTTTTCAAACAATATTGTGGCTATCGTGCTGGCTATGACATGGGCCTAACACTTATTAAGTATTTACTTGCATATTTATATAGCGAGTCAATATATTACAATTATGAAGCATTGAATGTATACATTAAAACTGCCTATGTTTTTATTACATGATCATTATTTTGTCACTGTACAAGACTGATAACACTAGTCATTTTTATTTAGAAAATTGTTTTTAGTTATAGGCTTTAAGTTTACACCATAAACAATGTATGCCTGAGCAGTAAGTTATGTTTATTTGGCATCATGTTCAGCTGGTTTTGGTTTTTAGATGATATGCCGGATTTTCCCAGCAAGATTTTAGACAATTTGTTGAGAACTCAGTGGTATGTGAAAGGAAGATACAGAATTTTGGCAGTTCTACTCAATTACTTAGATCCAGTTAAAGTAAGTTTATCCTTTTATAGCATGTTATATAGGCAACATATTAAATTTTCCTCAAAAGTTTTGATTTTTAAAGGAATTTGATATGATTTTAAAGGTTTTAGAGGCTTTTTGTTGGAATTTTGGAGAGATATATGACAAAAAATAAAATATATTCTTCTCAACTGGTGAAAAATACTTTATCAATTTTAAAGGCTTGGCAAATATTTCAGTTATCTTTTAGAAAGATGGGCATCATCGAATATTCTTAAAATATTTTTACAGTAATTCTGGATCAAGTATATATATCATTTATATTAAAGATTTTTAATGAAATGATAAGCATGTTTTTCTTTTAGTTTAAAGTTTTTTTGAATTAGTTGTCTTTGCTTTTGATGTTTCATAAGTGAAAAAAAAAATTTTCATTGAAAAGTTTTTTTTTAGTTTCATATGTCTTTCCCTTTCTCACAAAATACAGATACTGTATTGAAATATTATTTTTTTCGGGGGAAATGTTCATATTTTTTAATACTGTTTTTTCAGTTGAACGTTGTTTTTTGAGTGTATCAATTTTATCCCCCATACCTAATGGTTAATCATTAAAGTCTTTTCGAAATCATTTTTCTTTTCTGGGGCAAGATTTCCTTTAACCTTTAGACATAGCTTAATAGAAAATAAAAAATTTAAAATTTTATAGTTTTTGAAAAAAACCCAGGATTCAGGTTCAATTTTACGGGTTTTTAACCACAATATCCATCCTAAAAACAAAAATTGTTTACCAGGGCATTTTTAAACACAATTACATCTTAGCTTTTAAACTATAGTTTTTTACAAGCGGGGATTTAAAAACCCTAACTTTTTAAAATAGATTTTTCAGCATTCAAGAACATTTTTTTGTGATTTCTGTAAAAATCTGGGAAAATAGAGAAAAAGGATAATATTTTGATCTTAACTGATGAATACTTTCTAGAACTTTAATGGAAATAATTTTTGTTTCCACATCATCTGATGTTTTGCATTTTAAATACATGTAGAGGTCTACATTTATATTTTAAAGGAACACTGATGGAACAGAACAGTGGAAGGCTTCATGGTTGGCCACTTTGACAGAAGGCCTTGTCAGTGACAATAGGTGAGTTATTTTAACATTTTTATCATTATGGTGTTTATTAAAAAGTAGTTACTAGTTTCAAAATCAGTCAAGTAGTTTAAATAAATGAACATTTGAACAGCAAGAATATTAAAAATGTTTGAGCCATTTCTTTTAAAGCAATACTTAGATTATCATCATACTTAGTTTTTAACAACATTTAAAAGTTCTGCCACTTAACATTCTGACATGAACAATCTTTTTCCAAAGTTAGTAATCTGTTCTGGAAAGCAGCTTAGTGCTCTTCATCTTCAACTTTTACCTTTCCATTTTCTTCCTGTAAAGCAGAACCTAAGATGCAGCATACCTTGGATGAATGCCTTAATGAAATTTCATTTTGTCTTTATGACCTTTACCAATAATTGACCTTAACATTCAAGGTCAAATTTTCAAAATTCAAGAAATATTACCATAACTTTGTTGTTAATTGATTTTAGTTTGTTTAAATTTTCAAAATTCAGGTAATTTTACCGTAAATCAATTATTTTATAATTAACGTTTTTTTTCCAGTTTAGTCAGGTACAATACTAGTCTCCATTGGATACCTGTGACCTTTAAACTGTTACCAGACACGTCTGATGCTGTCCAAGATCACCTTTCTTCTGCAATGAAAGATCCCAAATACCCTGTAGATAGAGTTAGACTGCTCCATGCATGGATCATTGTGGCCAAAACTGTCAGAACACAAACTGGTAACACAAATCTTGTAAGTGTAAATTTAAGGGTAAAATTTAACTACATGTGTAACATATAGGTAAACGTTGAATTGGTATTTGTTAAATGATAAATAATTTATATGACATTGATCTTATAGGTATTATTTCTATTAAATAACCAACAAAATTTTTTAAAAAGTGGGCTGTTCTGTATATGGACATTAGTTTACACTGTTTCACAGTGTATTGTTACGATAATATAAAAATATTTATTATATTTAGGAACATATAAATATACAAGAGGCCCTGTGCTGTGCTGATGAGGATGTGAGATCAGATGCCATTTCCTTAGTTTGCACAACTCTGAAAAAAGCTGGTCAGCGCTTTTATATTTAAATTATTGTAAATATTATTGTAAATCTGCTTGCATGTCATTGATTTATTTGACTTTGAATATTTCTGATCTTTCTTTAATATGGAGATGAATATAAAGAAAACATTTGAAGATGGAAATTGAGTTAGATAAAATTTATAATGTAACCTCAGATCTTTACTGTGCTCAACTGCTGTATGTTTACATATAGGACATTTACAACTAACATGTGATAATGTTTCCACTTGCAGAATGTATATCTAAGGTTGAGGTTTCATTACTGATGGAGTGTATACCATACAATATTAAGCTAGACTCTGCACCATTTAGACAACATCTTGGCTCAGACATCAGGAAATTGTTGGTACGACTTAGAGATAGCTGTACAACATTACTGAAATCACCAACACAAAATAAAGAGAAACTAGGTAATGTATCTCCCTTCATGCATACGGTACTTGTTTTTACACCTCATACTGAATATTTTGAATATTTAACTGCATAGAATTTGTAAGTAGGTAAAGGAATTGATTAAACAGGTGTTTCTGTATTAGACAGTTCGCAGTAGCATAGATAAAAACAGACATTTGCCTACAGCTAAGTTACTATAAGTAATCGGTACTCAGATTTTGTATCATTAAGCTGCATTTAATCTGCTCCAAGTTATAAATTTTTTACATGGCAAATTTCAACTTGAGTTTCCCATGTCAAAAACTTTTTATTGAATACTGTTTAAAAAATTCCTATTGAAAGAAAAAACTCATTAGTGTATCTCATATAATAATGCCTCTCGTCTATTTACCCTAAATTCAATAATTATTGTTAAAACATTCTAATACCATTCTATTTATGATGTTTATTTGTAAATGTAAACTTGATGTGTTGCTAGCTCATGTGCTGGACTGCTGGTATGAAGAAATGGAGATTTGATATCCTAGGGGATGCCTAACATGCTGATGTGACTTTCTGAACTCTAATGTATAGGCCATGATGTAAGGTTTGAGAGGGAAAAACATAACATTGCTGGCTAAAACAGACATATCCTAAGAAAGTATATAGTAATGTTTATGAACAACAACCATGAACTTAATTTATATTTTAAGTATTATAAAGTTTATCACTGTTTTCGCACAGGATTGTAAATACATGTAGATTTAAATTTATATGTATATTTATTCTGTATTATATTTCAGACTGTGCTCTAGATTTTGTAGACTGGTTACACCAACTATGTATACAGTTTTTATTGCCGGGTGCTAGTTATCAAAGAAGGAAAGGCAGTCTAGATTTACTGCATGTTATTTATGAAAGTTTGATATACAGTGAGGGTAGCAAGCAAAGGAAAGGATTTGTACCAGGTATATTCCTTGTAGTATTGCTTTCATTTACGGCAATGCTTGTGTATTTTATCTTATACAGTGTTTAAGTGCAGTATAGTCTAGCCTTTTAAGAAAGTAATCTACTAAATTAAGGGCCTGTTTTCAAAGTTTGACCAAAGTATATAGATTGATCCTTTCAAATATAATATACCTGTAGTGAAACCCTGTACAAATAATTTAGTGGTTCCTTTTTACATGTACATGTAATTAGCAAAATTAATGTGACATGTGGCACTATTTCTTCACAAATTTTCCAATTTGATTGATTTTTGCCTTTAAAAATTTTGATTTATTGAATGATTTAGAAAGTGCAATGAACCTTGTGAAGTTTGCTCAGTCCAGTGAAAGATGGGATTTCTTCAACAAAATGAACACCCAGGCTCTCATCTTATGTCTATTGGATGGTGCTGAGGAGGTAAGTAGATATGCTTATATACAGTATGATTGTTATGTTTTTATAAAGTTTACAGAAGTTACCTTTCTTGCTGTTGCAACTGTTTTCAGGTATTAAAACACGGACAGATCATTTGAAAATGTAAAACAGGCTTTTTATTATCTACAAAAAAATTGTAAATTGTCACATTAATTGGCATTTATACTCTGATATTACTCCACAGCCTGTTAATTTTTAGCGTGTCTCAGAAAAAGTTTAGCTATTATGATTGCAGGACTTGCTGGTGTAGATGTTGTTGTCATTGTTGTTGTTGTGGAAAATCTTAATTGTAGCTCATTATTCAAATGCTTTGCAAGATATCTACACAGGAATAGGAATACTTGCTTGTTATGACAAGGCATATTTGTAAGGCAATAGCATATATATTTCTGGAAGCTATATTAATGGAGATATATGCCTTTTGTTGTTGTTTTTCCTTGTTATCCAGTACAGTAAAGCATCAACAAGAATATCTGATTATCATGCCAAATGCAATTGTAACAGAATAATTAATTCTAACATATTAATGTGTTTTAATTTTTAGATTCAGATGTCTTCATATATGCTGCTTACTAGATATTATACTATGACAATTGATGAAAATGTGAAAACCCCACAGAGCTTGTGCTGCCATCTACTGGGTGAATCTCTCAGACTGTGTAACAGTCCAAAAGGCCATGAAGGTCAAAGTGGTGCAATATTGTGTAAACTAGTCTTTCAAAAGTAAGTGTCGTCCCCTTGTAGAAAAAATGACATATATAATTTCTTTCTGTGTGCTGTTTTTTTTAAAGATTTTATATGAGGCTTTCTGTGGTGTTGTTTCTTGACTTCTGTTTTAAAATCTGCCTACATCCATAGTAGATAATCCTTATGATGCAAATTATTTATGTTTTGTCAAAACTTCAGTCTATATACAGTATATACATGTACAGTAATAGTTGTCTGAATGAGTTGTAACACTTGTTGTGCTCTGCAAATAAAAAAAAAAATAGTATGATTTATTTATTTTTGTTAACATTTAAAGCACATTTGCATTCTTTGTTTTAGGTATGTAGCAGATTCAAAGATGAAATTCAGTATAGATAAGAATTCTAAATGTAATTCAACAGATGTTCATGTGTCTGTTACCCAGGATGCATCAGTCAACAGTGCTGTGGTGTTTATAGAAATGTTGTTGTCTGAAGCAAAGAGATTTATGTTAGAGGCTGAGAAAGACCTTGTCAAAGCCTCAAAACAATACCCAATGCATGGTTAGTTGCTAAATTAGGATTGTCTCCAGTTTAAGTAGTGTTTTGTTAGAATTGAAATAAAATATTTAAGATATGTCTTATTATAGAGACCTGTTAAAAATCAATATTCTGTCCACAATAGGCCAGTTTAAGCCAGATCATAGAATCATGATATTACATACTGTAGATGTACAGCAGTGCTAACATTGATGCGTTATTTTGTCATTTACTATTTCATTACATAAAGCTATGAAAATTTAATATAAAATATTTTTTGTTTAATGACATAAGTTAAATAAATAAGTCAAAAATTAGTGAAAGACAATCATCTTCCATTTTATTTATTTTTTTGATGAACAGGTCTAATATCAGCAATAACTCAATGTCTGACAGGAACAGATGACCTTTGGTTGACATCAGCTGATGATTTAGTGGGTGTGTGTGAGCAGTTAGTAGAATTTTGTCAACAGATTATAGAAAAGATGCTGAACATAATGGCTGGGGTAGCTGGCCAAGGTATTGAAAAACTTAGATACAAAAACTTGTGTCCAAATCTTCTTGTGTAGTGAAGCGAGGCTTGCCCAATAAAGCTTGATAATAATTGAAAGATCATGATTTGAGATAGTGTCATAATGATTGAGCATGGAATTAAAAAATGAAAAAATGAAAAGGAAGTAATTAGGTGTAGATAAATAGATTAGTTTTATAACTAAAAGTTATACTTTATCAGACAATGGAATGTGGGATACAGTAGTGATATGTTGGGGCACTATATTTGTGTTGTTATATTTTCACTTAATTATATTCTTTAACCACGAGTCTGAGATGAGTTTTTTATTTGATGCTGCTATGTATGAACATATTATGCTTATTGTTTTCAGAAGCCTGTCCATCATTTGCAGAGATAGGTATGGCATTAGAGAATCTTCTGTCAGAGAATCAGACTGACTATGAGGAGACGACATCACTCTCACCGGAATATCAGTACATGTTGTCATGGTGCTGGAATAATATCAAGGTATGTATTGCTTATGTCATTGTTATTTAAGTAGGGACATGGCCGAGGGGTGAACGCTTAGGACTAGTAATCTAATGATTGCTAGCCACATGGGTTCAAACCCTGTCAGGGACAAGTTGTTGTTTCCTTGAACTAGATACTTTACACTCATTAGTCAGTACTGGTTGGTTCCAGGAATGGATTCAAAAAGTTATCTACAAGCTTATAGCTTCCTACACAATCAAACCAAAATGAATTCTGTTGTTATTTAAAAGAATGTGTTTACCTATCATGTAGCAAAATTGTGACCAGAACATATTGTTTGTTCTATTTTTTGTTACTGTTTTGTTATTTCTTTTTTGTTATCATAATGGTGTGCCAATGTTGTCTACCTTCTAACTGAGTTTTAATTTCAGGATAATGTTACAGTATGAAACATTCTATTTAATATCTAATTACATTTATAAAAAAAAAAAAACAAATCCTTAAAATTCATTTTGGAGAAGTTATGCACATTTGTCAAACTAAAAAAATGATTTGTTAAGGTCCATTATTTTCTTTAAAACTTTTGAATTATTCACTTCAACCTTAGAATAATATTTCAAGCAAATTAAGAGTTATGTCAAAGTTAAGTGGAGACCAAAGGCATCAAATGAAAAATGTTTATTTTACAGGAAAGCTGTACAAGTCTTGGGGAGGTTACCCGGGTAACCATTTCGTCAAAACAACCAATGTCTGTGTCCACCATCCACTCCATCAGTACTACTTTCCACACTGTGCTTACCAAATGTAGGCATAAGGTATGATTGTCATAATATTATTTATTCATATTTTAGTTTTAAGTTGAATTATTCTTACTTATTTGAGATAAATATATACTGATTAAGTATTTAATTACATAAGGAAATGCAGGTTTTGTCTGGATGTACTTGTCATATAGGCAGTGAAAGGGTTAATATACATGTATAGCATAGTTAAATGGTTATGAAATGGCTAAAGCTATATTTTCTTCTCAGATTTAATATTAGGTTTGAAAGGTATAATTGATGGTATTTAATGCATTGCTAATTACAGGGTGTAATAGAAGGATGCAGAAGTGCCTATGTCAAGTTCTGTTCTGCTCTGTTCCTTAGCAACCAACAGGAAGTGCTTTCTATCCCAGATAATGCATTAACAGAGGTACATGTATGATTTAAAACATTTATTTAGCAAAACAAACACCCAGACCTAGCCGATTTGGCTAATACTACTTAAAGAAAAGCCTTTTAAGTAACCCAAACTGACCATTGTGTATTTGTACCAGATCTTGCATTAGTGAATTTATAAAACTTATAATTTATGGTTAAAGTCAATGTGTATTTTAGCTTGATTCTTCATTTCCTACTCAGTTTCTTTATATGCATCGAAATCTTTGTTTGATCATTACTGTAAAACTTTTTTAACTGAGCTCTTAGAGAAATATTTTGGTAATCAGGTATGAATATTTATTGACTCTCAACACTATCTCAAGGCAGGATTATATGAGTCTGTCATGGATGTCTCCAAAATTTTGCCCCCCCCCCCCCCTTCAGCATTTAGTTTTGAAAAAAAAAAACTTGTTCAATATTATATTTACTAGCCCTGTGATTTGGGCAGTTAGTGACATAGAAGATTGATCTCATCTTACCCCTCTCATAAGCTGAGTTTATTAAGTTTTGAAAAAAGATTTTACTTGTCCAGTATTATATTTATTAGCCCTGTGATTTGAGCAGTTAGTTACATAGAAGATTGATCTCATCTTACCCCTCTCATAAGCTGAGTTTATTAAGTTTTGAAAAAAGATTTTACTTGTCCAGTATTATATTTATTAGCCCTGTGATTTGAGCAGTTAGTTACATAGAAGATTGATCTCATCTTACCCCTCTCATAAGCTGAGTTTATTAAGTTTTGAAAAAAGATTTTACTTGTCCAGTATTATATTTATTAGCCCTGTGATTTGAGCAGTTAGTTACATAGAAGGTTGATATTTTACAGGTGTTATCTTGTCTGAAGAAGAAGAGAATATCAAGCTCTGTAACACGAAGATCAGCTGGTTTACCTATCATCATACAAGCTGTTCTAGTCAGTGAGAAAAAAATGAAAAAGGTGAGATTTAACAAATTCATACATGTGAACTCTCTCTCTTTTAGCGCCCATTTTCTGCAGCCATATTTTCAAAGATTTTTTTTAAAATAAGGGATATTTTCACAAATTAAAGAAATCTACCTATTTTTGAAGTCAGAACTTCCTTCTTTGTTTATTGCAAATTCTAAAATCTCCCTATTTTAGAAGGAGAATCTCCCACTTCATCATAAAAAAAAGTTCACATGTATTACAGTGTAACTTCCGAAAACCGAACACCCATGGGACTTGTCAAAAAGTTCGGATTTCAGAGGTTTCCGGAATTCAGAGGTTTATGATAATATGGACATTTAATATCACTAAATGTCAAGGAAGATGTGGCCATTACTGTAATATCATATATAATAGTCTATTAATCAAGATAAAGATGTGAATGAAAAGAATACATTTTTATCTTACCTGCAAATGCTTTTGGATTTCTATCAGTTTGTAGAAATGTTGATAATTGCATAAACTTACATATTGTCCGATGCTAGTTAATTAATTATTACATCAAATGCAATAAAATTCCTAAAGACGTTTGATGCATACATTGTCCAATTAATTGTCATTTAATCCGCTAATAAACCCTTCAAATTAACTGACCGCCGTAAATTACTTTGATTAACCGCATCACTTCAAACATACAATTTCACAGTTTGTGATTTTAACGCGTGTCAAATTACACGATCACCGCTAATTAGTAAACAATTCAATTCAATTCAATTCAATATCTTTATTGCATTAAACATTTTACAATGCTTATAGCACATACAAATATATACATTGGCAAATGAAAACATATCCAAAAGAGAAAAAAGCATACAAATTGTTTTAACAAATATAATTTTGTGTTAGATATTTTACAAAGTCTTGAAACAAATACAATTTTTTGTGAGTTATTTTCTTCAGGTGTCTACGAAACGCGGATTTTATCTGCAAAGAAAACGAATTTTGCTAGTTGGGAAATAGATTTTTTTGATTTAGAATTCATTAGAAGTTCAAACTTATTTATTGTTGGCCATCGGCAGAAATATGGTTTAAGATATTTTTTTCGGAGTTCGCGGTAATTAGGACAGGCAAGTAAAAAATGAAACTCATTTTCCACTACATTCATTGTGCACGATTTACAAATACGTCGTTCACGCAGCGTGTTGTCATAGCGACCTGTTTCGATAAACAAGTTGTGGGAGGAGGTTCTAAATTTTGAGAGGCTATTTTGTATTTTGGCTCTAAAGAACAATTTAAATATGGTTCGACTTTAAAACTATGTTTGAATATGCAGTAAGACTCTAAACGCGTGGAATTATTTATATCGCTATACCAGCGTTGTAAGTACGCGTCAAAGATACGTTGCTTAATCATTTGGAATGGAATATCAACAAATTCTTGTTGGTCCCAAATGTAACTTAATCCATGTGTTTCCAGTATACTTTTTACTTGGCCGGCCCAATTTTTTCCTCTATAATCTACCCCGTTTTCAACATCTGACTTAAGAAAAATGTACGTTTTTTTAACTAATGAGTTATCTGGAAGTTTTAAAATTTTCACCCAGTACTTTATTATGTTGATTTTTCTGTAAACCAAGAGTGGCATGCGCCCTAGCTCACCGTAGAGAGCGGATATAAATTTGTGGAACGTTTAACGCATAAGATTCGACGTAAAAAAATTTGTGTGAACTAATTCCACGTCTGTTGCTTCGTGCATTCCCCATACTTCCGAACCAAAATGGAGGATCGAACCAACGAGACTATCAAATAATTGAAGGATCTGTTTCACAGGTAATTCAATGTTATTTTAAAATAGATATTAAACCGTATAGGGACCTACAAGCATGCTCTGCTATACATTTTTGTGTACGGTACCAATTACCATTTTTTAAACAAATTAATGCCCAAGTATTTAAAAGATGTGACTGGCTCGATTGGCGTACCATTGATATGGAAGTTTTGATGAGTAGGCGCGACCTTTTTTCAAAAAAACCATTGCTTTTTTTTGGAAATATTTATTTCAACCCCCACCGTCCGCAATAGTTCACTAGATCATCTATCATTGATTGAAGGCTGGTCGGAGATTTAGCGAATAGTACTTGATCGTCGGGCATATAGTAACAGAAAATATTGTAGTTCATTCACAGTAAAAATGTCATCGATGTTTTGTGTTTATGTTTTGAGAAATGTCATTTACGAAAAACATGTACAGCAGAGGGGAACTGGGGTCCCCTTGCTTCAAGCCTATATCAGAGCTGAAAAAATCAGACATCTGGGAGTTAAACCGCACGCATGACCTAACAACCGTATACATTGATCTTAGAGCCTGTACAAATTTTCCACTAACGTTTTCTGCCAGTAACTTGTTAAAAAGAAATGTCCTATCTATTTTGTCGAAACATTGCATGTAATCGATAAATACACAATAAAGTTTTTGCCCTGAGTCCAGCACTTTGTTTATTATTGAGTGCAAAATAAAAATACAATCTATAATTGATTTCCCTTTTTGAAAACCAAATTGTTTACCGTCAAGTTTTTCATATTTATTTGACCATTTTGTTAATCGATTTAATAGCAATTGAGAATATATTTTAGCAAGGACGTTAATCAAAGTTATACCACGATAATTTTTTGCCTCGTTTATCTCCCCTTTTTTGTAAACTGGTGTAATAATACCATTTCCCCAAGAAGTAGGATATTCGCCATTATTTAACATTCTATTGTAAAGTTTAATGAGAAAATGTGAAATATGCTCATAACTGTGTTTGAATATTTCACTTGTTAAGTTGTCTAAGCCTGGACTTTTGTCATTATTTTGCGAGAAAATCGCTGATTTTATTTCAGACTCAGTGAATGGCAGGTCTAAATCGTTATCTATTTGTCCGATATTCAAATCAGGATCCCTATTTTCGTTTTGCATTTGATCGCTCCCAAACATTGTTTTAAAATGATCAAATAAACTACTTATATTTAAATTATCTGCCTTCTGCGATTTATTTTTCGTATATTTTTTTATCTTTTTCCAAAAAGATTTCGGTTGTGATTTAGCTAAATTACTTATGTTATGTCCTTCTTTCAATTTATATTTACGCCGTGCCTTTTTTTTCGCCCTATTATAAGATGTTCTCGCTTGAATAAATCTAGATCGGTTAGCGTCATTTTTATCTCTATTAAAAATATTTCTTGCTGATTTAAAATTCAATTTTGACAATTGGCAGTTTTCATCGAACCATTCTTTTTTTTTTATTACAACATTTCCTAGGTTTATTGGTACGAGTTTCGGAAGGTTTTCCGAATGTCGCACGTGTACAGTCGTTTAGTAAATTTGTAAACCCGTCAACTACGATGTCAATCGGTGAAAATGAAATGTCGTCCGCTAAATTAGTAAACAATCGATAGGGAGATTAAATCTTCCTGCAGGGTAAACATTCTCGATTTACAATGTATTTCACACCTTTGGATATTTCCGGTTTTTGGAGGTAAAATTGCATTGATTTGACTCTAATTTTACGAAAATATCGTCCGGAATTCAGAATTTAGAAGTTCCGGAATTCAGAAGTATTCTATTAATAGAAAATAGAAGGGGAAAAATCAGGACCGAAAAAATTGTTCGGTTTTTAGAAGTTTCCGGATTTCAGAAGTTCCGGAATTCGGAAGTTACACTGTACAATTTTATACATACATTGTATTTTAACTCATTGTGTGAGCAGACAATAGGCTGTTTGATGCTTATTTTAAGGATTTTGATTTTGAAGTTGAATATGTCGACAATTTCACATATATTTAAAATGTTTATAGCTTAGATTCAGATGGTAAAATTTAATTGGTTGTCATGAAATATTTCTATTAACCATCTTAAAACTACATTGTATATAAGGCAGTTTTCATTAACACAAACTCAAAGAGTCAGATAATGATATACATATTGATAAAGTTCTAATATATGTTACATATGTTGTCTAATTTTAACAAACATATATTTTTATAACAAATGATGTAGCAAAAAAAGGTTAAATAGTACAAATCTGGGATGCTTAATAACTACTTACATAAATGCATGCTGTCTTTCAACTTAACTCTTTAGAAATTGATTGGATTTACCAATGGTTTACATTACAGTCATTTCTGTTGTGTGAAGCTGTGAAGAGTTTGTTTGAGATATGTGAAATGCCACTAGATAAAGATCATGGGCTGACAGACCTTCCTCAAGTTCATGGATTAAATATTCTAAACTCATTGTTCAGTGATGCAAGCCTTACAGCGAGTCTGATCGGTCACACCAGTCATGCTGTGATCTTGGTCATTCAGCAGTTTGGTTCACCATCATGGGCAGTACGTAATGCAGCTACGAGATTTTTCAGTAAGATTATTTAATTATAATGAATATGATTTTGAAATCAGAATTTCATGACATTAATTATGCTATATTAAAATTTTATTATATTATGTAGAATACAAAAATAAAGTAGAAATTTATAGGAAAATAGATAAGTTGTCTGCCTTATAATTTTGACATGGATAGAATTTTGATTTAGAATGTTATAGTAAAAATCCAAACTGGTAGTATGTAGTTATAGGTAATCAAACTTTTGAAAGATTTTCTTTACCTTAAGTTGAAGTATGGTGTTTTTATTTTCCATCAGGCACTCTAGTGACAAGGATATTTGGTCAGAAGAAAAGCCATGGTGACAAGTTCTGCAACTCTGTCACATTTAAGGAATTCAGTTCCTACTATCCAGATTTACCTGCCTTTATGTTGAAGATATTAGATGAAGCATCAAAGGGTGATATTATGGATATTAGCCAGATTCATGCAGGACTATTTCCTGTATTGACTATCCTCTCCTGTCTTAAACCAATGGAAGCACCAGATCAAGATATAATAAGGTATTTATTGCTAGCTTATATTTACTTTATCATTTTTATAAGTCCGAAAAATTTTGGCATATAATATTATGCACCTGGCTGTTCATCTGTCCATCTGTTAGCAGTTTTCATGTCTGGTCTGTATCTTTTGAACTGATGGAAAAAAAAATTAAAAATGTTTGGCAGAAATATTACTTTTAATGAGACGGTGTACAGAACACAGGTTCAGGCTTCCTGAAATCAAAATTGGCATTATCCCGGGGATTACTGTATAAGTTGTTACTGCGGTGACTTTATTTTTGCGTTTTCTGCGGTCAGTTTCAGCACCGCAGAAATAAAAACCGCAGAATATTTCTCCATGTTTTTTAACGACATGTGTCCTACATTATGACCTGTTTCCTCTAAAGTAATAACAACTAACGAATTATGACGGTTAGTGGGTCATCGAGTTATATAAAATTGCTTTCTGCTAAGTATGTTATATGTGCTTGTAAGGATGTACCTATTGTTAATTATACCAATTTATGAATAAAGATATTTAAACATCATAGTGTTTGCCTGTACGCTTAAAAGGTTTGTTAACAGCTAAATCATTAAAACCATTTTAACCCTTATACTGCTAAATAATCGTCATATACATTAATTGTTGTCTGTTTTACGATAAACTTCTATCAATTCTATTAAATTAAAGATACTTCTTGGGTATATTTTTCACATGTCATTTCACGCTGATCAAAAGATGCATGCTGTCTATTGTTGCACATTATATTTGTTTGCAAGCAAACAATATAATTGTTTGTAATTACTATATAGTTCTGCGGTGACGACGATAAACAAAATTTTAATACAAATGTGTACATGCAAATAAAATAGGTAGTGTAATGTGACTTAGACTTTGATAAGATGAGCCGCAGAATTTAAATCACGTTTTGTCCAAAGACTGTGCTGCAGAAATAAAGTCCGCAGAAATAAAAACATGCCCAAATTTGGTAAAACCGCAGAATTTGGAGCCCGCAGAAAAAACCACTTATACGGTACTTGATTTATGTAGACTTATATAGGTAAACACATTCAAGTTTCATTGTATGAAACTACATTGTCTAGAGTTTAGATATTTGTCCCCCTCCCAAGGGGTCACTTGATTTATATAGACTTATATAGGAAAAACACATCTAGGACTTATTGTGTGAAACTACTGTGACCAGTGCTTAGATATTTGGCATGTCACGTTACTTTGTGGACCACAAAATAACTGGTCTTAATCATGCCCCTTAATTTCGGCCTTGCCCCGGGCGTCACTTGCTCTAACTAGACTTAAGTGTAGGAAAGCATATATTGTACTGCTGAATTTGTTTTTTATGTTCTGTTGATATCAGAATTTAAACGCTGTCATTACATTTTTTTCCAGTCAGCTTCAACAGTTCTCTTCTCTTATGCAGCCGTTTACAGGAAGTCCTGTGTATCAGCTACGCCACCTGGTGGCATCAGCTTTGGTTGCTATGATACCAGTACAGGAAATGACATCATCAGTGATATCATGTTTGAATAATCATGTAACTCCAATGCAGTCATCCAGCAGCATTTGTAACAACAGTCTTCATGGGCATCTGTTATATATACTTGGACTGTTAGACTTTATTGAAAGGTATCAAATTGTTTCATTCAACAGTTTATTTTGAATACTGAATGACTTTAATTAATGCGTAATGACTGTAAAGAATATTCAATATGGTCTTGAAAAATTGATTTTTATTTCTGCAAGGAAATTCTCAGATATTTGATAGTGTATTGCCAATTTTATTTTAAAGCTCATGTGTTACATGAATAGAAGGAAACTTAATTTTTCTACCCACCTCAGATTTTGGCAAAGCACTTTTCTTCTTTTTGAATGGGATGTTCTCAACATGTACAATTATAATTATCTCAAAACAGTTCTTTTAGTCTCAAAATTTATATTCTGACTTGGTATACAAATCTGTTGTTTAATTTTCAGATATGAAGATCAGGAGGGTCTTTGGAATGCACTCACTAGAGAATATTGGTTGATATCTGTCAATAACGGGATGATATCCTCTGTTTATGTGAAGATTTTACATCAGTTATTGCTGGCATGTCCATCTGTCACATGTGATGAAATTCTAGAGTTTGTCATAGTAGAGCATTGTACAAGGGGAAGTAAACAGGTACTTTTTTGATATATGAAATTGATTGTCTAATGCCCCGGTCACATATTCACGGATCATGCCACGGAAGAGCTATGGTCTAATCCTTCACAGATTACTACGGAAATGTGAAATTCCGTAGTCCGCTATGGTTCCAGTACGGACACACAACGGTATGAGTACGGAGTCCGACGGATTTACCACCAAAAGCCCCCGGAGAGACACGGATTGTTACGGACCAACACGGTTTGATACGGAGCGACAAGAATCAGGACGGACGCACTACGGATACACTACGGTCTGCTACGGTATAAGCACGGGTTGGTACGAATAAGTACGGTCTGATACGGAGAAGAACGTATTGATACGGAGAAGAACGAATTGCCACGGATCTATACGGACCTAATACATCCGTCCACAACCTCTTGTTTGCTCATTTTCAAAATGCCTCAAAAGTAAAGAACACCTAGAAAACTAGGGCCGGGAATTATATTTGAATATTCGAATATTCGAAACACTATCGAATATTCGAACATTGAAAAACGAATACGAATATTCTAAAAAAAGCGTGTTTTTTTTGTAATTACTTTCAAATTTCAATTAAGATAGCAAATTAAACCATGGACCTTTACTTGACCAGTTGTTCACACGTTTGTATGACACGTGTCAACGATTATCGCCAATTAACTTGAAAACTTTGGGGTCTATAGTTGATCAAAAGTGCACCCGTTTTACAGTTTGCAATTTACCTGTTGAACAGAATATAATGTAAATTTCCGATTTTAATTATCTTATATATTGTTTTCTGTGCAATAATCTGTCCGATTAATCAGGAATTGTCTTAAATTTCGTGAAGACGAAAAAATCGACACGTATTAATCGGTGCTTTATGTAAGCATGGTCAGTGTCTATATTCCGTCAAAATATATTTATTCCGTAAAAACTAAGACTCCGTGTGATATTTACTGCGTTACAGCTAAATGTATCTGAAGAATATTTTCCTTATCTAAAATTATAAATAAATAATGTATTTAATTCAAGTTAAGTTTCAATGTAAATTATGTGTTTTGGGGGCTAAGAAGCTACGGTGATTCATATTACTGTCAATCAAGTCACGTGAGTTACCTACCCTTAATAAGACCCTGAAGACAAATGATCAGCAGCCGGATTAACTGAACAAAAGGCAATCAAATTATGAATTTATTTCAAAAGTAAACATTTATGTCGATTTACAGTATATAAAATAAAAAAACTTTTACGTAGTTATATAGGTATTTTTAATCGTCGATTATTACAAACATATTAAAATTGTACAGTATTCGACACAATCAATTTCGGATACGTATACGTCAAAGAGAAATATTGGAACAAATGTTGTAAAAACGAATATTCGAATATATTCGAATATGGAAAACGAATATTCGAACATCAAATTCCTTATTCGTTCCCAGCCCTATAGAAAACGAATTGCATCGGTCAATGATTTTGGCGGAGAGGATTCAGCCTAATTGCGTCCGAACCCCGAGACACATCAGGTCCAATTAAAGTGAATTTCTTGAAGGACGCTGGATCCTCAACAAGTTCGGCCATGAGAGCCTCATACTAAACATGAAGCGGTCTTCGTAAAAGCCAATCTCTAGTCCACCATCTCGTCTGTCTTCTCTTACCTGATTAGATATGGACTAGTAATCATTATTGAAAAATGTTGATCAACACTGCTTCTCTTTTAATTTTAAGATTTGCTGTTCATCTTACAATTACATTAATGATCGTGATGTTTATGTTTTTAAAATATGTAAAAAGCTTGTTAATTAATCTTATTATCACTCAAGGGCCAGTGTCCGAGGCTTATGAGACACTTCGTTTTATGTACATATTTACTCCATTTTCACGATCCAATGTTTGTAAAATATGTAACATTAAATGTTATTCTATTTCTTATGAATTGTAGTACGATATTAATATAAATTTACTTCTATGCATGTCATCAAGCAGCTCGACCACTGCCTCCGCATTCTGAGCCATTTCAATATAAAGTTGCAGCCAGTAAATGGCAATTAATATTTATTAAATGTTCCTGCAAATATATATGTCTGTTTTTAACAAGAAGGTAGTATTTATACCCTTGAAAAAGTACATGATACTTAATTCATCCGTACTAAACAGTGGTGGGCCGTACCATTCCGTACCGTTTCGTGTTGCAACGCAATAAACCGTATAAGACCGTGCTAATCCTTGCCTCTCCGTAGTACAACGTATTACGATCGTGGCTTTCCGTGACAATGCCGTATTAATCCGTATTAAAACCGTAGCTTATACGTAGGGTAACCGTACAAATACGTAGTTCTCCGTACCAAACCGTGGAAATCCTTGACAAGTTGGTGGACTACGAATCAGTACGGACTATTACGGTTTTCGTACGGACCAGTACGTATCAGTACGGATTAATACGGACTAGTAGGGATACGCTACGGTTGATTTTTCCGTAGCAAATTTTTGTGCATGTTCAAAAATTGTCAAGGATCGCTACGGATATACAAGGACTACTACGATTGATTACGGTTACAATACGGAGAGCTACTGACCAGTACGGGTAGCTACGGACGATGCCGGAATTAATCCGTGGCTCTTCCATGGGCGTATTCCGTGAATATGTGACCGGGGTATAAGGGAGGTAACATTTACATACAATAGCGTTTTATTCAAAAGTTGATGTTGCCTATCTATCTGGGATTACAATTAAAATATTAAATATGTATAACCAGTTGATTGAAAATTTAGAAAGTCACCCCTTAAAGGGTAACACATTTATGATTAAACATTTACCATTTTGGAAAGGATAATTTAAATTGTCTAATTGTTAAACATTGTCTTCCTTTTTTTTTGAGAAATTATACATGTAATAAGCATTTGAGCTGGCCTATTTAAAGAATAAGGAAAGCTATTGTACTTACCAAGGTGTTTGCATCACACTTTAGGCAAGTTTGTATCTCCAGAACTACTGATTGGAATAGATTTGAACTTCATCACTTACTTGACATACTTGATGGTCACTGTCCATGGCCAATAACTCTAACATGGATTTTAACAGAATTACGGCCCTTTTTAACTTAGAAAAATTCATTGATATTAAGGCTCTTGCTTTACGAAAAGCCAACAACAGTTCTTGTTTTATGTATTATTGCAGTAAGTCTTGATTTTTTTCTTTAGTTTTTATTGAATGTCCATTTTGTTACTACATTTACAACATATGATCTAACATTTTGTTACTATATATAGATGATAGGTAACAGTGTATATTGTGAAGCAGCTGTAGAGTTCCTGTTTGAGAGTTACAACAGGAATGGTTTATGTATGTATGGTCTAGTGGATAAACTGCTCACCTTCAACAATATGGAAGCTAGAAAATCCTGTCTGGAAAAGTTACCCAAGTTCTTACAGAAACCTGGAAAGAACCACACATACAATAAGATGGCAGTTATGGTTAGTATCTTGTACTGAACATGTTAAAGCAGTATAAATTTGATTGGGTTATAAGGTCTTACAGAAACCTGGAAAGAACCACACATACAATAAGATGGCAGTTATGGTTAGTATCTTGTACTGAACATGTTAAAGCAGTATAAATTTGATTGGGTTATAAGGTCTTACAGAAACCTGGAAAGAACCACACATACAATAAGATGGCAGTTATGGTTAGTATCTTGTACTGAACATGTTAAAGCAGTATAAATTTGATTGGGTTATAAGATATTCACCATACATTATTAGTTATGCAGATTTTTGACAGGTTAAATAATCATCATAACCTGTCAGAAATATTTATAATGAAGTAATAATACAGAAAACTTCCCGTTTTTTAGAGAAAAAGTGAGATTTTTTTCATAAATTTACTGTAGACTTGTTTATAAAACTATATAAACATGAGGACATGAAATATTATAAAGATACATATACCTGAGCATCTGTGTCAATGTCATAGTCAAATTTTGGATTAGTTTTTTCATGGAACCTATTAAAATACTGCTTCAAAACTTACAGCAATTGTTATTGACCATCATTTAATATTGTAGCTGTGTCATTGATTTCAACAAAATTACTACCCTACTGAACCCTTTCAGATATTACTCTGAATATAGTATACTTATCTACATGTATGACCACTCCCATTTTTGGAATGTTCATTATCAATGTTGGAGATATTAAGATAATAGTTTAGAAGCTAGTGAGCCATCAGTATATAGCCAGGTCAGACTGCAAGGACCCTACTGGTGGTAAAGGCTGATTACTTTTAGTTCCTGCAGGTTAATTAGTTATAACAGAGAATACAATAATGATGTTTTTTCAAATTAATGAACCATGCTTTAAATTTCAATTTATTACAGTTGTTAAGAATATTGTTTTTACATTCTCTCTTTTCTCTATTAAGGCAATACTATGTAACAGTGTGAAGAAGGAGAGTGAACTGTTTGTCTGTACAGTGTTAAACTTGATCACAGACTTGTATCAGGATATTGGAACTATACATAAAGATGATCTACAAAACTTGCTAGACTGGTTCTCGGGTGTAGACAAGAAAGAGTTCAAACATAGAGAATCTATGCTAGTTTCTGTGGTACCAGTCCAGGCAATTCTCATCAAACATAGTACAGACACAGGAAGTGAAAACGACAGGTACTTTCATGTTGTCAGATACATACAATTTGTCATGTTCACTATAGATAGACATTCTAATTGTTTTGATTTACTATCCCAATATAAAGAAACTTTAAACTCATTGCTCAGTACTGGCTGGTTCCAGGAATGAATTCGAAAGTGTGTCTATAAGCTTATAGTTTCCTACACAATTAAACTAAAATAAATTCTGTATAAACCAAATATACAGGTACATGTTTTGGATAAATAAAGAGAAATTTAGATTTCAAAACTGTGTCTTTAGATAAAAAGAAATTGTAGCCTTTATCCTGTTAGTGGTGATTGAATCTACCCATACCACAAGTGCAGACCAAATCAACCAGCACATTGTGCCGTCTGATCCTGGTCTACAAAGTTTGTTATACAGTCAATGTTTTAAAATTTTCCCTAAAAATAAAGTATGGTTATGTCCAGATTGATAGATGGAAAAGTCCATTTAAGATATTTAGTGTTGTCAGGGTTAATGAACAATATTCATAACATAACTTGAGCAGTAAATGCATATGTTTAATAAAAGAATTGACATCATTTTTTACACTGGAAATTGTTGAAGCTTTCTCAACATTTTATTTATTGTCTCTATAGCAAAAAGGTTAACAATTTAGCAATGTTTTTCAAAAGTTCATTGAAATGGGATATTAAATGTAGCTTAATATGTTTCAAGAATGATTTATGATATGTAAATTCAAATAGCAAAAAAGGACAGTTTTTCACTTGGACAGATCTGTTTTCATACAGAGCCCCATTAGTATCTTTGTTTTATAAAACCAGTTACGTTCTTGATTCACAGTATCTTGCATTATAATGACAGTTTTATGTATCACTCATTTACATTACCTCAATACCTATATTATTTATATTATCTGTAGATTGGGTGTACCTGATTTAGGTGTATTTTGTGAAGCTGTAAATAAATTCAGCAGTGCTGTAAACGAAACTCAGAGATTGTCAGCAGTAAGGGCTTTACAGATAGTTGGTAAACATTTACTGAATCTAGCTTCAACACTCACCTGTTCAGATTGGCTGATAAGGTAAACAATTATCATGTTTATTCCTTATTTTACAACATAATGTCTTATCAAAGCTGCATGTGGTTAATACATACATGTATGAGTAACATAGAAATATGTAATGACCCAAGAATGGTATCGAACTACATGTAATTTATTTTTTTAAATGATGTTTTGTCTCTAAGCTTCAGCAATTTAGATTACTTTTGTAGGATTACATGTGATGCTTGTTTCAAAAATTAAAGTTATTATGTTGTCATTTATATAGTTTCAAGTTTAATACATGTAAGCTAGTTAATATGGTATGTTTTGTATAATTTCAGTTTGTTTGAAGCCATTTTGACATTGGTTCAGGATGAAGATACGGACATACGCTTTGAAACATGTAAATTTGTCTCTAGTCTTAATTGGGAAGAAAAACCTTCAAAGGTAAGGTAATCTTTCACAATATAACTCAGAAATTATTGTTTTTATTTTCATTACTAATTTGTTTGCTTGGGTAAATTTTTTTGCCAAAATTTGGTGTCATTCACAAAGCCAATACATATCCATTTTTTACAATTTTATAAGTGTCAATTTGTTCAAAATAAAACTTATGAGAATTTGCTCTGTCCGTACGAGGTTAACCTAGAACGGCAAGTTGGATTTTTCTTAAGTTCTACCTGTACCAATGGCTTTATAATTTACACACTTACTAATCCATACAAAGTATATGATCTGGGCAAGTTACATAACTATGGCTTCCATTTGCACCAAGTTATGGCCCTTTTCAGCACTTAGAAAACGAATAATGGTTAACCTAAACCGGCAAGTTGGAAATATCTTATAATCTATCTGAACTAATTGGTTAATAAATTTCACACTTATCAATACAACGTACATGATATTGCCAAGTTATATATAAATGTGCCATCCATTTTCCCAGTAATTTCCCTTTTTATCACTTTGAAAATAGGGCCTTGTATGGTTAACCTATTCCGCCAAGTTGGATTTATCAAAAAAATTCCCCTAATTACTTAGTTTATTTAATGATATCTTTTATATTTGGTAGGTGGAAACCTTTAACAGTCCTCTAATTTTTTGTGGCGTTAGGCGTCTTTAGGTCAAGGTAAAGGTCACTTGTGTAAAAAATTAATCTAAACATTTCTGCTCATACAGCCTTTATTTTTAAGTTAATGTCTTTCATGTTTATAATAGTCTTACCAAGGGAGGTCCTCTTCCTTTTCCTTTAGTAAGGGGTCATTTGTGTCAAGGTCACCAATGTCAAAAATAGATTTTTTACACTTTTACAGGTGTATTAACCTTATTCTATCGACAGATGTCTTGTATATTTTGTAGGAACATAAAATTGAGGTATTCTCATTTAGATGGAGGTAGGGGTCAGTTGGGTCAAGGTCACCAGTGCTGAAAATGAATTTTTACACTTTTGCTCATACAGCCTTTATTTATTGACAAAATTTGTATTATAATTGGTAGGAAGATAACTTACATGGTATTCTTCCTTTGGATGGAGTTAGGGGTCAATTGGGTCAAGGTCAAAAGTGCTAGAAAAGAGATTTTTACACTTTTGCCCATACAGCCTTTATATATTGACAGATTTATTTCATATTTGGTTGGAAAATAAGTTGCATGATAATCTTCCTTTGGATGGAGTTAGGGGTCAGTTGGGTCAAGGTCTTCCATACAAATTAGCTACTTCACTCTCTAAAGTTAAATTATTGACAACAGTGAGTGCGGGGGAATTTGTGTTTATCAAACACAGATTCTTGTTTTTTTTTTTATTTTCTTCATTTTTATAGCTTAAACAGTATATAAGCATTCTTACTATAGAGAACTACAAAGAGTTATTTTTTTTACAAGTAAGGACATTACAATGCTATTATTTTACAATTCAGAAGATCCCAGTACCATTCTTAAAACAATGAAAGAAAAAAAAGCACAGAATCTGTAGCTTTAATTAAAATGCACATTTATGACTTTAACAATAGGGTTATCACATGAGTATCCATATGCTGGCTGGTCCATTAACATTTTATCTACGCTCAAATATTTTAATGTTTTCTAATGTTTGGCTCCTGGCTGTAAAAGAAGTTATTTATCATTGTTGTTTATATTCAGTATTAAATCTTGTTTCAGTTTTCAAGCTACCACAGCAATATATGTTTTGAGGTATGTTTACATGAATTACTTAATACATATGGCTTACTATCAATTGAATATTAAATTGAAACTGGTGTTCATGGTCGAGTGGTTAAGGTTGTTGACTTTAAACCACCTTCCTTCGCCGCCGTGGGTTCGAATCCCGACAGGGACTTTGGATTCTTTCATGTGAGGAAGCTATCCAGCTAGCTTATGGAATGTCGGTGGTTCTACTCAGGTGCTTGTTCGTGCCTGAAATAATGCACAGAAGGGCACCTGAGGTCTTCCTCAACCAGTACAGCTGGAACGTCGCTATATGACTTATACTGTGTCAGTATGACATAAAACCCAGTCAAACAAAAAAAACAAATTAAATGGAAATAACTATACTCTTATCACATTTTCATTTCTTTCATATGATTTAGTTAGCATATTACCTGTGATTTAATTTACCCAAAACTCATTAATGAAACCATTTAACAGTTTGCATATAGACAATATTTATGTAGATTTAAAGACAACTTAATATCAAGATGTGCAGTTTATGTTACACAAACATTCGTGGTGTCTACTTATAGTAAAAAAAATTTCAGTGAAATCATTTGTGATCAAATCTCTATAGAAATATTCACATTAAGGATGTTGTTTTTCTAGCTTATGGAACGTAGGTGATTCTAGTAAAGTTCTGGTTTGTTCCTATATAAAATAGTTACTGAAAGGCATCTAGTGTATTCTTTTATTCTATTACAGCTGAGAAATTGCCATGTTACCCCAACTGTTCATTACACCAAACTAAGATAAAAAAAAAAAATTTATGTTTATATATTTCAGTTATTTCTGCAATATTTATGTGATAATTTCTGGCAAAGTGACCAGTATATCCAGTTTCTATACAGTCAGTTGACATCAGTGGTCAGTCTTCAGACACTGCTGGTAGAGAGAGAATCATCTAGATATCAGCAACTGTTTGATCAGGAAGATAACAGCTTCTTTGCTGAGAAATTATACAATGCTTTTGACATCTATAAATACCTTAAGGTAAATGCAGCCTAAATCTGCCTCAATTGTATAATAGAATGTCCAGCTTTGAATTTACAAGTGTGTTTGAATTTTAAGGGTATTCAGTATCAAAACGTTGAAAAAAGAAGAAAAAACTACATGTATGTTCAGACTGCATGGATGTGTAGGCTGGCCTTGCTCTAGCTAATTATTTCTTGTTCCTGGATGATAGTTTATACAGAATTTGTTTTAGTTTGATTGTATAGGAATCTATAAGCTTATAGACATACTTTCAAATATGTTCATTGAACCAACCAGTACTGAGTCACGAGTGTAAAGTTTCATGCTCAAGGAAACAACAGCTTGCTCCTGACAGGGTTTTAACCCACACAGCTAGATATTCTTAGATCACTAGTCTGATGGGTTTATCACTAGGCCATACTGCCACATGCAGGATGTTAACTGTTGAAATTTTTTTCTAAGTAATTTGTTAGTGTTCTGAAGACCATTCTTTATCATATATTTAAGGCACATTCATATATTGGAAAAAAATGTTCCCAATTAGCAAATAATAATTTTAAAAAATATCTATTTTAGGAGAAGAACTTCATATTTTTAATTAAAAGGTGACCCTGGTCCCTTAAACATCAAATATCCAAAATTAAGAAAATTTGGCTTAAAGTTAATATTGACATATTTTGGTTGGTGCCTTTTTCATGTATTTTCTTGTTATTTTAATGATTATATTTATCATTCTAGATATCAGTAAAAAGATGCCTGAATGAAAATAAAACAGATATGTTGTCTAAATTGAGAAATGATCTAAGTATAGATAAGATGGTTAAAGAATTGGAGTATCTGATATCAGTCTTACAATCTATACACAAGGGTAGGTACCTAAGATATTCATCTATTTATAGATTAATGATCTGCACTATTAAAATATGCATGTATGTTGTTTTTTTAAAAGACTATAAATTACAAAGCTTTTACCTTTTGTCTGTATTTGATTACAAAGATACATAGAGGATATTTGTTCAGTTCAGTGTAAGATCGGAATATATTTCACCGAGTGAGCACCAAAAGGTATATTTCACGAGTGGCGCAGCCACGAGTGAAATATGAACTTTTGGTGTTCACAAGGTGAAATATATATCGATCTTAAACTAAACTAAACAAATTTTCTTTTTATTACATGCAAAGAAACGTTTTAAAAAGACATTAAACCTAATACTGAATGAAAAGCGCGCCAAATAATAATACAACGTGACGTCATTTACGACGTCACATCATTAAGTTGGTACCAAGGACTGTGCACGCTGGTAGTTCACTGAAACAACGTAAGGGGCTTAAATTCAAAACAGTGAAATTATCAAAGTGGTAATTTCACTGTTTCAAACAGTGAAATTACCAATTTTATATCACTGATATATTTCTATAAACCACCGAAAAGCATGTAATAAATCAATTTATTTTAAGTTGTGAGCTTTTTTATTTGGGATAAAAAATGCATTACTTTGAACAATTTAAAAGATCTTACATAAAATCTAAGGAATGAAATGGAGTGTTGATGTATGACGGCCTCTTTGTTGTTGCAGCTCAAAATCCAATGACCTTGAAGAATATTTACAAATTTCTTATCTATTATTCATTTTATGTGCTTATTTAAATATTTGAAAATATTAGCATACCAGCATGTTTCATGTTATTTGGGAAGGCAGGGCTTCAAGGCTATAACTTACAAACATACATTTGGAAGTTTCAACACTAGATCATTCATGTGTTTTGTGCCTCATTGTTTGAAAGCTGCAATGCTATGACTGTTCTTATAGACATATTGTTTAAAATGCATCACTCAGATTTGATCGGTAATCATTATATGAATAATTAGATGAAATTATTTACTTTTTCTCTATTTTAGGTACAGTAATCTCTATATGTAGTGACAACCTGGTTCTGTCTACTATATGTACATTTTTACTTTCCTGTGATATTGTTGCCATGACAACCAGTAATCAAACAATTCAAGAGGGACTAGAAAATGTAGTTCAGGTTTGTCAGTCTTGATATTTAATTGACACATATTTTTCCATAAATAGAATGATAAGAGATGTTAATTATGCCTTCAGATATTTGTATACCATATTGTTTTTGTGTTAATATTAACTGATTTTCATAACACTAGTATAAAATCATGTCCAAAGTTTTTGTATAAGATATAAGACAAATAAAATACAACTATATTAAGTTTTAAAAAAGTATGTAATTTTTTTGTATTTCCAGATAGCTGCTTTTCCTCCAGTCCTACGACAGAAGTTTAAAGATTGCGATGTAAACGTGTTTCATGCCTCTTGATGAAAACTCTAGTTTAGTTGTACACAAACTGTTATATTTACTATTACCCCTTGCAGTTCAGAAATCTATCCTTATTTCCATAATGGAGTGTTACACATTGATTGGACAGATCAGATACTAAATATACAATGCATTACTGCTTTAGCTTGTTGTACGAATCAAGTTAAGAGTTTTGCAACAATGCTGAAAATCTTAATATGTGCAATACATTCTGATGCATTTAGATTTAACACAGAAGAGAGATCTGTATGATAGCTGAGTGGTTAAGGTCTATAACTGAACCACTTGCCCCACACTGCCTAGGGGTAAAACCCTGTCTTGTACTTTGAATACTTCATGTGAGTAAGCTAATTAACTAGTTCACAAAAGATCATGGTTCTACTCAGGCGCCCGCTAATGCCTGAGATAATGGATAGATAAAATCCTCAGGTCTTCCTCCAGCAGGAAAGAAAATGGCCATATGCCATATGAACATATCAGTGACAAGGTTTTAAAGCTCAATTAAATATAGAAATAAGTAGATAAACAAACAAATGTAGACAGTGCTGTGGACTCTATAATAGTTCCTTTTAGACAGTACAACTGAAGTATAATAGTCTGTTTGTTGTATTTTACTTGAGAGATTTTGACCTGATAACAGCAAAATAGCTATTTTTTTGGTTTTAATGAAACTTGTAATAAGTTATAATAAATAGAATATGGCACTTCTTAAAGAAGGAAATTAAAAATGCAATTAAAGGTTAAGAATTTACTAGAAGTTACTTTATGCCCATAGGCGGTTTACATAGATTTTACTCCATTTTAATTTCGTTAATGTTCAATTTGTGAAAAAAACAAAAGAAACTAGTATTTTATTTTCAAAAGTCATTTTTGAGTGTTACCTAGAAATAAGATTGTTTTTTTCCATTTTGCTATGTTTATTTTGTGGTGGCTTTTTGTTACCATGGTTGTCTTATGTTGCTGTGAAGTTAACGGGAATGAATTAACTAAATGTTACTATAAGAAATACACTTTTGTATATAATTTGTTGTTTTTTTTTCTTGACATATAGGGCTTAAGGTTGAACTAATAGCATTAATCATGCTGTTGTCTGTTGTCTAACTTAAATCATATTTTCCACTAGATCTGCATCAAATTCTTAATGCTGTTTAGATAATGTTTTGCAATTACTGAACGGAATTCATCAAAACATCGTTGGAAGCTTCACTAGAAAGAAGTGGTGTACATACTACATGTTCCAGTTTAATAACTTTATACCCCCATTGAACTAAACCTGTTACTGGAGTGATTGATCATCAAACTCAGTTGGGTATTGCATTGACTATCCTTTTGGTACAATCTTGTCTGCTTTCAGTCGGAATTCATTGAAACCTTCACTGAAATGATTATCATCAAGCTATGTTGTGTATACCGTTTGCATGTTTCCTTAAAAATAGTTCCGGTGCCTTGATTTTTAATATACATTGTACCAGTGTAATAATGGTCTTTGTGGTCTGTAGCGGTGCAGTCGTTGCCGCGCTTCTTTTCAACAACCGGTATTCTGATTTGTATGAAAATTTTTACTGAATTGTTTGCCATCAAGTCAGCTAAAGCTGTTACCATTAGTTCTTGAAATACAGCAGGGATTTGAGTAAGATCATAATTGAGTGAAACTGTCCTTTGCAACAACCTTATTTTATCGCCACATCAGCATTGTTTGTGCAGTGTTGAGGCTGTAAAAAGTCGCCCCGTACCTTCAATCTTACGATCCTTAAAGAATGTTCAGCACGATATTTTTTATGTGTTTGAGGTACTTTTTAATTTAAACTATTTGGCATTTTCTAGTTTGGTGGTTCCAATATTCCTACTTGAATAATGTTGAATCACCATTGGGGTTGTGTTGCCTGATTTTTATATGCCCGAAAGGGCATATTATGTTATACCCCCTGGCGTCCGTCTGTCTGTCTGTCCGTCCGTCCGTACGTCCGTCCGTCCGTTAGCAATTTGGTTTCCGGAGCATAACTTAAGTTCCATTTGGCCCACAATGTTAAAACTTCATAGGATGATTGTCCATATTGGGTAGAAGACCCCTATTGATTTTGGGGTCAAAAGGTCAAAGGTCAAGGTCACTATGACCTTAAAACTGAAAACAGTTTCCGGAGCATAACTTAAGTTCCATTCGACCCACAATGTTCAAACTTCATAGGATGATTGTCCATATTGGGAAGAAGATCCCTATTGATTTTGGGGTCAAAAGGTCAAAGGTCAAGGTCACTATGACCTTGATACTGAAAACAGTTTCTGGAGCATAACTTAAGTTCCATTTGGCCCACAATGTTCAAACTTCATAGGATGATTGTCCATATTGGGTAGAAGATCCCTATTGATTTTGGGGTCAAAAGGTCAAAGGTTAAGGTCACTATGACCTTGATACTGAAAACAGTTTCTGGAGCATAACTTAAGTTCCAATTGGCCCACAATGTTCAAACTTCATAGGATGATTGTCCATATTGGGTAGAAGACCCCTATTGATTTTGGGGTCAAAAGGCCAAAGGTAAAGGTCACTATTACCTTACAACTGAAAACAGTTTCCAGAGCATAACTTAAGTTCCATTCGACCCACAATGTTCAAACTTCATAGGATGATTGTCCATATTGGGTAGAAGACCCCTTTTGATTTTGGGGTCACAAGGTCAAAGGTGAAGGTCACTATTACATTGGTACTGAAAAATATGTTTCCACGCATAACTTAAGTTCCATTTGACCCACAATGTTCAAACTTCATAGGATGATTGTCCATATTGGGTAGAAGACCCCTGTTGATTTTGGGGTCAAAAGGTCAAAGGTGAAGGTCACTATTACCTTGATACTGAAAACAGTTGCCGGAGCATATGTTAAGTTCCATTTGGCCCACGATGTTCAAACTTCATAGGATGATTGTCCATATTGGGTAGAAGACCCCTATTGATTTTGGGGTCAAAAGGTCAACGGTTAAGGTCATCCTTACTAAAAAAAAATACTTTCGGGCATATAATGCTCCGCCTAGCGGTGCTCTTGTTAACTTTGTCTTCTTATCTGTAATGTGCGAGCTTCATAACATGTGATACCCTTTCGGAATTCCATTTTGTTTGTTTCCACCCATTGTTTTCTCGTTTAGGGCACACGCATTTTTTGGTTGTGGACCATATGGAATGGCACTTACATGTCACATTGAGGTTTCCATTATAACCGCCGTTTGAAAACATCTGCGGATGTTTATAAATTCAAAATGTTACCATTTCATGTTTAAACTTGCATTTTCCATTACCGTCCATAAACAGGCACAATCAAACCGAGCCTGCAACATTTTCAAATTTGTCGTTTTGGGCTTTCTTTAGGGATTTTAATTTTCTCTATTTTTTTCCTTAATGTCGCCCTGCATGGGAATTTATCAGTACAGTTTTTCACGAGAGAATCGAAACTGTATGGTTTCCCTTCAAGTCTTGCTTTGATTAACTTATTGTCTTTTGCCAGGACATATATACATATAACTATGTATGCCAATTTTGATTTAAGTTGCATGGGGGGGGGGCATAATCATGTCGTGTCATGTCACCCTCTCACGTAAAAAAACAAAAATACTTGAAAGCATTTTTGTTTGTAACTTTTATTTTGTCAGCATCTCTAAATGGTGTCTTTGACAAGTTCAAACTTTAATAGAAAAAAATCTAGACCGATAGAAAACCACTGTATTACATATTTTATTTTTGCTTTATGGAACTTGCTCAGAATGTCCGCCTTTGGTCAAAAATCGAAAACAGGTGAGCCGGCTTCAAAAATCAGGTACATGTAGGTAATATATTAAAATCACACAAAATTATATTACTTTTGATGTTTCTATTTTTATCGAATCTTCATCAAATATGTATTGATGACGTCTGGACAATATCGATCGTGGATTATCTGGGATCAAAAATAGGACACCAAATTAAATCAAAGAAGCTTGTGTAACACACTAGAGACTTCTTTGCATGATGAGTGGCGGCATCAATCAAAAGAATATATTTATCTTCTTTTCATCTTAGATATATGCTCTCCTACTATGTGTTCTTGAAACTGGAGATTTCATGATTAAGTTTTAGCTTTTGTGACCCCCCCCCCAAAAAAAAAAAGCTACTTGGGACCATTAACTTAAGGAAGGAAATCAAAATTATGTACACTCTAGTGCTTATAGAATTTTTTTAAATTTTTTGTATACAAAAAGTGTATGATAGAAATATAAAAACAAATTATTTGTCAATGAAATGTGCTCTTTATGTTCTATATTGACTTCTAAGAGAACAGAAATAAGTCTAAATACAAAAAACAACAACAACCAAAAAAACTTACCATGGAATACATTTGTCTATATAAAAAAAATATCTTAGAAATATGACTTATAGTGTGTATAACACCTGAAGATATGATGAAATAAAGGAAATCGGGGGAACTAAACATAAATTTAATAATTTCTTTCAGGATTATATCCCCATACTGCCAGTTTAAATCGGGACAACTTTTCAGTCATCCCTTAGTATTACTTTACTTTTCATCAAGATTGTTTGTCTCGTTACTGAACTCCCAAGCACTTGTTCGCATTGACTACATTAAATGGCAACAATGTCAATAATGGAATTAGAAAGCAAAAAAATCTTTATTCTAATAAAAATATCTAAAATGCTTCTCTGCTGCAAATGAAACCTGTAAACTATACGATTACCTAAAAATAAGTTTTAATTGTTTATTACTGTATGCACGGATTTATATTGCTGTCAATCTGAAGTTGAATTATCTAAAATTTCAAGATACGGAAGTAATAATATAATATTATATGACACTCTTAATGTGGTACAAATAGATTTTGTAAACGGATTGAAAAGTGGCAGTAAAATTTCTAACAACTAGAAATAAGACAGTTCAGAAATGTTTGGAAACAATGCATATTTATAATATTTATTGTTTTCTCAGAGAAAAATAGATTGCTTAATTTCTCTGTCAGTTAGCTGATGGAAAGTGACTGTACCATGATACTATATTTTGTAAGCTGGTGGATGTTGTTACTGTCGTAGTGCTGCCATTGATTTATTTTTAAAGAATTTAGACGCTTTAGTGCAGATCTGTCAAATCGAAGTTACAAATTTTTTAATGATGATGAAAAAAAAGTGAAATCGAAAAGGAAGTTTAAAAAAATGGTTTTCACAAATCCTCTCTCAAAAATCTGGTAGAAAAGTCTTCGTATGCTTTGGTATCTGGGGCAACGGCGTGTCTTATCTGTTGCCAACCTTTTTCTCTGTAAAATATATATACATGTATATAGCAAAATAAGTTTTAAGTACATCGTAACGCTTGTGTTAAAATGCAGAATATTACGTTTACTTATTTAGTTACACCTGGCAAGTTACTCGCTAGTAATAGTTCAATAAGACACTTTTGAAAGCATACTGGTTATAAGTTTAAAGCTTAAAAAGACCGTGCAAGCAATTACCGTTTTCATTGGATTTCCAACTTGACCGTTTTTTGATGATTATCTTCCCGAGTAACGCTAGGATAAAAATGCCAGGAACAAATAATCCACTTGCAGTGACAAAAACATTGCCTGATTTCTTTGTTATGACCTTAGGTTCTTCGTAACCATATATCATTTGTTTGAACAACAAGCTGCCTGGTAATGATGTCATATCCGCCTCGTTTGCATATATGACGAGTTCTTCTGTTTCAAACTTCACTTGAAGCTGGTAAAAATATTTAGCCAATTCAGTTAGATTATCTCTGTTGACGAGATCAAACCCTATCTCCCATATTAAAGTATCTGAAAATTAAAATAATGATATAGAATAACACTCATTTAGTTCAGATAGTAATGGAAAATATAAAGTAATTTTAACCGACGTGCTACGAATTATTTTCATTTTTATCTTGGTTGGTTGATGTCATAGACTAGTGTCTTCTCGTGGGGTAGACTTTGGCATATAAAAGACCCGATAGCTTAAAAAAATAATCATATTGTAAACGGGGAAGGCAGTAAAGGCCCAATGCTTTTTACTTTTCATGTTTTAGTTTCTAAAACGAAACTCATTTGCCAATTACCTGAGCTATCTCTTTCAAGTATTGAGATTTAGTATTTTATATAGAAGTGAAATAGATCTACTACTTTGTTTAAATTCTCTACTTCTATGACAAATAATTTCACATACGGCGCTACAAGTGCTCTAAAACCATTATTTAAACATTATGAAAATTAGTTTTGCCATTTGTAAAAAAGGGAAAAAAATCGTTCCAGAGTTAAAACTTTAGTCTTCTTTGTTAATCTAAATATTTCATTATATATGAAAAGATGAAAAGTATTCCTAAAGCAACGAAATTTCGACTTGGATTAAAATTTGAGAAACCATATACTAAATCATACCGAATGGTACAATTTGGAAATTGTTGACTTGTTCCAGTGGACATCCAATATTATCAACCATCTGGTATAACATGTCGAGTTTCACAACATCAGTTAAACTAATATTCACTTCACGACCTTTTACTAGGAGGCTTATACGGATTAAGTCGGTGTCGTCTGCTAGTGTTTTAACTTTAAGATGTCCAACTGAAAAATTTACAAGACATAATCTTATATTGCTCTTGCAGCAACATGGTAAGTTTGCGAAAAAAATTTCAAAAGCACGTACTATGGGCAAAGACAAATAGATCGGATCTGAATCTATGTAACTTAGCTTAAATTATATCATGTTATCATCTTCTGCCGATGTGTCAATAAAGCACATTTTCTAATAAAAAAAATGACCTGGAGAATGTTATTGATAATTACATAAAATATTATATCAGTTTACTCCTAAAATTATGCTATGACCTTACAGCCTTCCCCAACTATTTTTATTTTTCAGAAAAAGACACATTACCATTTAAGTCATATAGCTATTGAAATTTGAACTAGAACTAATACTAAATGTGATAAATAGCTCACTCTATGCCCACCCCTGCAAACAGCTTTTCACTTCGGGCAGTTTGATGATGTTGTTCAACATTACAATGCGTCCAATCAAATTTGTGCACAAATTACTAGTTGTATTTTTGTTGTTGTTGATTTACAGAATTTAAATACATTTTCAAATTTGCCCTTCAGGGTCAAGGACAAGTATGTTCAAGGTCACACACCACATGAAGGGTTTTTCCAAAGTGATTTTATGTCTAAATAAAAATCAAATCCATTTATTTATAACAAAGATTGAACAATTTGGTGAAAATGGCCCTCGAGTTCATAATGTCCTTCGGGCCTGCGGCCCTCAGGCCATTATGCACATCTTCGGGCCATATCGCATAATGGCGAGCAGCAACCAAGTATTAACCTCTAAATAATGATTTGACCTTATTTGTCAGTCATTTTACTTGCTCTGCATGGTAATTTTTGGTTAAGTATAAATGGAATTCGTTAATGAATAATATAGTTATGACAAATTTCAGGGGAAAAACCAATAGTTTTATCATTAAAGTCAAGGTAATGTAAAGGTAAAAGTCAGTTTGACATACTTGAAGGATTGTTAAAATATTTTGCACAAGAATGAAAATAATATATCCAATAATTACAAAGTAATGACCAATTTTAGCAAAATTTAATTATTTGACCTTGAATGTCACGGTGATTATAAGGTCTAGTAAAACTAGAGTTGCTCAATATAAGGTTTTATGCTAAGTGTTTTTTTGTCCATGTATGACTCAAATCCATCTTTAAAAAAACAAAATTATGGCTTATTATAGCAAACAGCAATAATTTTACCATAAAGGTCAAGATCATGTAAAATTTCAAGGTAAAATTCCTTTTGTAATATGAATTAGCTTCTTAAATATGAATAAGCTCGCCAAGAGAAAGTTCGGCTGTATCACCCACAGTTTGAGTGATTGACGTCAAATAAAGATTATGCTCATAACTATGTCTCATTTTTGCGTGTTTTCCTGTATCGGTACGTTGTTTTGTCATACTGAACGCTTTGATACGAAAATGATGTCTATTTGACGATACTATAATAGCGTCGTTTTAGTGAATTTTGCGAATTAAAATATCACAATAGTTTTTTTTTTCGTGAAGGCCCCTCTAAAAGGTCGCAATCAAGCCCAAAATAAGAATGATATTAATATTGTAATGTTAGAATATCATATAAATCCCACTTGTAGGAGGATAAAAATAATACGGATTTTGCATGCACTTGTTTTATATTAATTCTAAACATGGCAAATAAAAGCCTGTAGCAAAGACATATGAGCCGCGTCACGACAAAACCAACATAGTGCGTTTGCGACCAGCATGGATCCAGACCAGCCTGCGCATCCGCGCAGTCTGACCAGAATCCATGCTGTTCGCTATCAGTTTCTCTACTTGTAATAGAGTTGGTAAGCGAACAGCATGGATCCTGATCAGACTGCGCGGATGCGCAGGCTGGTCTGGATCCATGCTGGTCGCAAACGCACTATGTTGGTTTTGTCGTGACGCGGCTCAATTATATTTATTAAGATGCTTAAAGTAATCAGTAATCAATTATACTTAACCTATGCAATCTTTTTTCTGAAGACAGAGTGATCGTTCCATCGATATACACCAAACCTGAAGTATTTGCACAAACATCAAATGGAATCGCTTACGATGGAGTCGAACAGGCTTAAGTTTTTCATTAAAGTGCAGTTCACATATAAAAACCTCACCCAAATTCTATTTTTCTTCCTTCAAACTCAACTTTCATAATTATAACAGTACATGGCAAATATAATATTTTGCATTCATTTAGTTTTTCTGGTATATCCAGGTGTCTCGAGTTCCACTCAAACTTTAAATGACAACAAATTATGCAAAATTAAAGCCGAGGTTTACAACATTGTTATTTACAACTTGTACGGTAAATGATCCTCCAAAGAAAACAAATTTTAAGAATTACTGGCTATACTAATGGAATGTTCCGATCATACAGTTTTTTATTTCAACATGTCTGACTTACCTCATTTTGTTCACAGTTAAAGCATCCGTTATCAGCTATATACATGCCAATAGGTTTATCTGAAAAGAGACATGTTTTGTTTAAAAGATTAGAGTAAGATATGCTCGACGCCATAAAAAAAATACCATTTTTTTACGACGGTCACATACCAACAAAAGTCACAAGATAACATGCAGTTGACAAGCATCAGCAACGCCCCTTTTGATGCCGTACCAGCGAATCTCTTGAAACGTCTCATACCTTTCAAATACGTCTACAGACGTGTACCAGAAATTGTCCATTCCATCGATACACATACCAAGTACTGCCTCGATACATCATCACTTTCAATTTATTTAGAAGACACATACGCATCATCGTGCCAAACTATACAAAACCTCTAGATATACACTAACAAAACCCCCTAAGATAGCACATACCACCCAACCTCTAGAGAGGACACGCCAGCCAACGCTTTGAGACGACAGATACCAGGCAACGCCTATAGAGGGCACATACCAACCAACACCCTTAGGCAAAACAGCTAGAGACGACATATACTTGCTAACTCCTAAAGACGACACATATCAGTCAGAAGCTACAGACATCACATACCAGCCCGTATCTAGAGACGCCACGTACCAGTCACTGCGTAACGTTAGACGACACATACAAGTCAGCGGCTACAGATGACACTAAGCAGCCAGAGGCTAGAGGCGACACATAGCCTGAACATAGAGAAAAGACATGGCAACCAATGCCTTAAGAGGACAAATACCAACCAACGAATAGAAACGCCATATACAAGCCGACGAGACATACTAGCCAACGCGTTCTATACGACAGAGCTAGCCAATATCTTCAAACTGCAAATATAAGCCAATCTTACACAGTCTCTAAACAACAAACTAGTATTCAAGCCTAAACCGCTAAATAACGTACAGTACGCCAGCGAAAGCGCTACATACGACACATGCCAGGAATCACATGCAAATATATGCCAACGCCTGATGGCGGCCATCGTTGGGTACCCACGACCGAACCATTAACATTTATCATGTTTATATGTTACATCTTAATCAACTGTGGGTATCCGACGATGGATGGCGGCATATACAATCAAATTTCTTAACATATATCTGAATAATACAATCTCTTTCTCAAAATTGATTTTTAGCTCATCTGGAGACATACAGCTTTAAATATCAACTATTTATCAATTACATTACATGTACATTGTATTTAATCATTCTTACCTTGATCCAGATATTTTTTAGTGTAAGTACCTTCTACCTTCCTTATTTCTACGTCATTTATACGTATTGAATCTTGATTGAAAATCTTTTCGTCTACCTTTTTCATACTCTCAGTCCTGGTAATAGATGGCGCTATATAAAGGCCAATCCCTGTTGTAGTCCGTCCTGGAAAACATCGGCATGACCTACATTACATTTTTTAAATTCAAAATTGAAATAAAGAGATCTGTATGTAAAGTCATCATACAATTGTCATTTAGAAGATATTGCCATGCTACGTTAATACATTATTCTATATATACTCTGTATTAGTCATGAATGAACCGATAGCTTCCTTTTATAGAATATTTTGTACACAAGTTACAAAATATCTTTTAACCAATTACTTCATGAGCATTTTGTGAAAAAATGGCATGTGCAATAACTTGGCTAAAGAATCAACAATCGACATTCAATGTCTAGCTAGACAATCAACATTCAGCTCAAAATTCAATCTATAATAATAATCAAGGAATGCTCATAGTGAATGTTGAGCTAGACAATCAACAATCAGCTAAACATTAAAAATGCTTTTGTCGAGCTAGACAATCGACATTCAGCTCAACATTCGATCTATAAAAATGATCGAGGTTTTCTTAAAGTGAGTGTTGAGCTAGACAATCAACAATCAGCTAGACAATCAGAAATTGCTTATGTTGAGCTAGACAATCGACATTCAGCTCAACATTTGATCTGTAATAATGATCGAAGTTTTCTCAGAGTGAATGTTTAGCTAGACAATCAACAATCAGCTAGACATTCAAAAAATGCTCATGTCGAGCTAGACAATCGACATTCAGCTCAACATTCGATTTATAATAATGATCGAAGTTTTCTCAAACTGAATGTTGAGCTAGACAATCAACAATCAGAAAGACATTCGAAAAATGCTGATGTCGAGCTAGAAATCGACATTCAGCTCAAAATTCGATCTGTAATAATGATCGATGTTTTCTCAAAGTGAATGTTGAGCTGGACAATCAACAATCAGCTAGACATTCAAAAATTGCTTATGTCGAGCTAGACAATCGACATTCAGCTCAACATTCGATCTATAATAATAATCAAAGAATTCTCAAAGTGAATGTTGAGCTAGACAATCAACAACTAGCTAGACATTCAAAAACTGTTGAAGTCGAGATAGACAATCGGCATTCAGTTCAACATTCGTTCTATAATAATAATCAAAGAATGCTCAAAGTGAATGTTGAGCCACACAATCAACAATCAGCTAGACATTCGAAAAAATGCTATGTCGAGCTAGACAATCGACATTCAGCTCAACATTCGATCTGTAATAATGATCAACATTCACTTTGAGCATTCTTTGATTATTATTATAGATCGAATGTTGAGCTGAATGTTGATTGTCTAGCTAGACATTGAATGTCGATTGTTTAGCCAAGTTATTGCACATAAAAATGGCTGTTTTCATTGAAAAGTCTCCCGTTACAAGTTCAAATTGCTATAAAACTATAAAAACCGCTTCAATACTAATCAAACTTGGCACAAATGTTGACTGGACCATTACCTTCTTAAATTTCCTGTTAATATGGCAACGAGGGGACATCTCAAAATTGCCAAAAACTACTATTTTGCGTTGATTTTTTTCCATCAAAATTGACTTCAAAGTGCTGCAACTTCTCTCTCAATGGTGGATTGAGATAGAGTCAAAGACTTTTCAGCGTGAATTAAACGTTACCTTATGATCGACCTGGGGTCATTTTAGCCTCTCACAAGTCCAACATTTTCTTGGCGATAAGGGGTACTACCGCCCCCTTTTAAAACCCCCCAAACAGAAGGGGACACATTCCCCTTCTGGCAACCCCCTGATGTATCTTTTGGCGCCGAAAAAGTGTTCACTTTTTTAAGCAACATTTTTTAAACAAAAATAAGTGTTGGGGGCTAAATAAGGCATTTTTTAACCATTTCAGACAACAAATAGGGGGGGGGAGTGAAAAAGGCTTAAAAGGCGTGTACATCGGGTAATGTGTTAATGTGACTTAACCTTATTTTCTTAAGATTTTTTGTATGTTTTTTACGAGAATTAGACGCAGTTTTGGCAGTATTTTGGCGATTGGACCAACTTAACAGCTTTCCTTGATAACTTTCCAGTCAAAACCACATAAGTCTAAGACAGACTACTTTTTTAATCAGTGAGACAAAAGATTGTTGGAATATATATCCGAGATATATTGCAGCGAAGAATTATCGCCATGCACAAGCGAACCGTACTAAAAAAAAGAGATGCTCTCCCTACTGAGCTAAGCGGAAGCACTTTGAATTTTAGTTTACTATTTTCGAACGACTAATCGAATTCATATTGATCTTATTGTGAGAACATCAAGTTTTATGTAATATGTGGCGAAACGACCAGGAAACACATAAAGATTGAAATGACGGATCAGAGGAAAAGCACTAGACATTACATATGCCATACTCTATCATATTATATAACCTGTCAAATAGATATTTAAAGACATCAGTGTTTCAAATGTTTTCCTTAATGTTTCTGTGAAAGGTCTTAAAGACATCTAAACTTACCAGAGTCAAACAACTCAGCCTTGATTGAACCTTTACAAAAACCATGCAATTCTTCAAGCGTCTGTTCCACAGTAGCCATAGCGAATTCAAGACCCTTATGGTCAAACAACATCAGTTGACCAACTGCCAAAAGGGATGCTGTAAATTACATGATAATTATTGAGCCGCGTCACGACAAAACCAACAAAGTGTGTTTGCGACAGACCATATAATGAAATGGATTAGCACATTATTTAGACTGCTTAAACATTATAATTTAAACCGCATTACAAATATCTCTTTAAAAGTGTCAACTTAATGCCCCAGAAACGAATATTATTTTCCTTCTTTACAAAGAATAAGCATGAGTTTTATAGCATTTTAATAATGGTTTAGCGTATGTAAGTTGCTTATCACCTGAATAATTAAGCACCGAATGTAAATATTTTGTCATAAAAGTAGCAAAATGTAAACAAAGTATTATTTTGACTTCCATACAAAAAACTTAATCACTACAACTGTACACAACGCTAAAAGAAACATAAACAAAATATGGTTCAGGTAATTGGCCAATGAGTAACTTACTGTAAACTACAATATGACACCAAAAATAAAAACCTTTCCAGAAATAAAAATAAAAACATTTCAGGACATAATGAGCATTTAAGCGTAAAATTTTTGACTGCCTATTCTTTTTTCATACTTTTTAAAATTTCTTACCATATACATGTATGTATTGTTATTATATTATAAATTTGAATTGTGAAAAAAAGACACAATGATATCTATTTCTATTTTATTACCCTTCCAGATTTTCTAGGCCCTTTTTGATTGGATATTGATCCGCCGAAAGAAATTGAAATTACCGAGCCAGACGGGTAATATACACACTAAATTTCCCCGTTGGGTACCCCACGTTGTAAACAACATGCGCTGTAACACCGCACTTTGGGGTCAAACGCACTTTGGGGTCCGACCCCAAAGTGCGTTAAACTTCGCACCGGACTTTGGGGTCCAACGCACTTTGGGGTCAAAATCGAGAAATTGACCCCAAAGTGCGTTAATATGCTACATATCAACGCACTTTGGGTTCCAGAGGTCTAAAGGTGTCATCTGATTTCTGCTTAAATACTGAGTACTGACTTATTTTCGATCGGCGACATTGAAATATTTGAGGTGGAGTTCAAGGTGGCAGTCAATACTTTATGATGCTTAAGTGATAAAAGTTTCATTAATTTTACCACTTGAAATATCTAAAAATTGTGTTCATATAACAAAATTACGGTGGCATAAACGTGACATTTGCATTTTTTTTAGTTTTGCATACATATTTTTTTCAGTTTTGCATACATATTTTTTTTCAGTTTTGCATTCATATCTTATTTTAGTTTTTCGTACATATTTTATTTTTGTTTTTCGTACATATTTTAGCCATTTTTAGAATCGGCCCAGTCGTTTTCGGCCGGGCAAGTCTGGTTTCGGCCGACCCTTTTCGGCCCATTTTTTTTAAAATCATATGTATTTTATATAATTATTGTTTTTATTATTATTATACTATTATACGTATTAGTGTCTGTTTGGAAAGGGCTGTTGATTGGTGATATCAGTTATTATTCCATGAATATGCACCACTCAACCCCACCCCCTGAGAACAGCGGGGGGCATTGACTTTAAACCAAGCCGACCAATGGTAAAATCTTCGCCCTGCCTTATGCTCCGGAACAGCGCAAACATCAAAACACGATTCTTTTTTAACCCGCACTCCCCCGGGGGCAAGGGAGGTGGTATCAAATGACTGGTGTATTAGAATATTGCACAATAAAGGATCTAAATAGGTCCTTATATTCCACTGATTTAGAAAAAATGCTTAAAGCTTTGAAGGATTTTTATGAAGCTTGTGTCAATTCTTTAGAACATCCAGATAATGTGCAGAACTTATATGCCAGGTGTGCCGGCTCAAGGTCGGGTCAAAGGATTAAGACTTAGGAGTTAACTCCTAAATCCCATGAAGGATTTTAAGGCACCTTGTGCCAAATGTTAATCACATCGAGACCATAGCAGAACCATTCTTTGTGTTACCGCGGACTATATGTATACTAAAAGGTGTTGTTGTTTTTTCTGATACCACCAAAAATGAAAATGTTGGTATTTGCAGGGTACTGTAATTTAAAGATAGCGAAGTGTTTAAAAATGGTGTTTTACAAATGGCGTAATTGTCCAAACCTCTACTTTGCAAATGGCGTCATGTAAAAATATGTACGAAAAAAAAACAAAAAAAATATGTACAAAAAACTAAAATAAAATATGTATGCAAAACTTTAATTAAATATGTATGCAAACTAAAAAAGAATATGTATGCAAAACTATAAAAACAAGTATGTATTCAAAACTATAACAAAAATATGTACGACAAAAAAAATAAATATGTACGAAAAACAAACAAAAAAAATCCAAAAAAATGCAAATGTCTCTTTTATGCCACCGTTCAAAATACTCTAGTACAGAAATTGTGTATTCCTAAAATTAAAAGATGCTGCGAAAAATATCCCGTTCTGTCAGTCATTTACTTGATAACTTTTGGTGCCATATTGAGCCCCATTTTAAATATGTTGGGAATGAAATAAAATGCAGTTAATATTTTTTTCCAAAGAACTATAAATATACTCTATTGCAATGTTCTGGTGAAACATCAAGTTTTTCGATCGGACTATAAATAGTGATTTTTACAAATACATTATTAAGCTTATCAACAAACTTAAGGGTTTTTGTAAGCTCCGTAACAACCGTTCGCCAGAGGCTTTTTTTAATGGGAAATCTTACATACTTCTTTAGAAAGAGCAAACATGAATTTTATAATGTTAAAATAATGGTATCAGAGAAATGTAAGATGCTTGTTACCTGAATAAAGTAGCGATAAATGTGAAATTATTTGTCATAAAAGTAGTCAAAACAATGTATAGTATTTGACTTCCATATAAAATACTAATTTACTATAACTGTACTCACCATTGCCAAAAAGCAACAGATGAAAAAGATGGTTCAGGTAATTGGCCAATGTGCATTTTTTCATCATATAGAAGAACATCAAAATAAAAAAGCTTTTAAGAAAAACAAATAAAAAAGCATAATGGGACTTTAAAACGTTTTTTTAACCCTCGGGGGGGGGGGGGGGGGTTGATACCCCACAATCCCCTCTATACCTTCAGTGAGAATTTTACATTATTCTGAAGCTCCGCTCTTAATGTGCGACTACTTAAATAGTTGATATTTTTAGGACTACTACCTAAAGTCGCATCTACACCTAGTCAAGTTTCTTATATGTCACATTTAGCTTAATAAATAGCTCTTTCAACATATTATCAGGCACATTTTTTTACTGAAATGTCTTACTAAAATTGCCCAGAATTTATACCTTTGTCTATGCTAAGACTATCATATTTCTATAAAATGTGTAAATAAAAAACGGGAAAATAATCCATTTAGCTAAAAACAATGGAGTTAATGAAAGGTGTACATTCTTTTAAAATAAATGGAAAATTTGAGAAAAAAAATATTTTAAGCTTAATAATTGATACAAATTCTTTATTAGGTGATTTATTTGGTGAAAGTTCTTCACTTACTAATCAAGACCATTTAAATCCCTATTGATTCTACTATAATCCAGGGCACATGTTTTGCGTCTATTTAATACCTTGATTTTTGTTTACCATTCGCTTTGACTACAATATATTATTTAAAACATAATGAACATTAATTTTCTATGACCCCAAAGTGCGGTCGTTTGCCTGATGTTAAAAAATACATATGTACCTGTTTAACGCACTTTGGGGTCGAAATTGGACCCCAAAGTGCGTAACGCACTCTGGGGTCGGACCCCAAAGTACGTAACGCACTTTGGGGTTGGACCCCAAAGTGCGTTTGACCCCAAAGTGCGGTGTTACAATGCGCTGTGGCATCGCATCGCATCGCGTACGGTTCGATTATACTCGGTGTAAATTCTAATATACAAGCACATTTTAACTGCAAAATAAATAATATTTACCAAAATAGAGTAATGTAAAATATTCTCATCAGAATTGAAAACAAAAATGACCTCGTCAAAGCTTGATATAAATTACAAAAAATAGTCTTCAACAGACTACTCCTTTTCTCTTGTTTACATTCGTTAGGTACCAAAGCAAATACGTCATGTATTTATGTGACGTCATGCTGTGGTGAAGGGGTACCCTAAAGGGAATCTTATTTAGACGTTTCATTCGAAACAGCAATAATTTATTTTATCATAGTCTTACTCGGCAGGGAAAGGGTAATAAAATCATTATTTTGGTTTTAGAGTGATATATGTGGATATATTACCTGCAAAGATAAAATATTACCCTCGCCTAACGGCCCGGGTAATATAAAATCTTAGCAGGTAATTTATCCACATATATCACTCTAAAACCAAAATAACATATAATATTGACGTTATGTTTGTTAATATATTATTGTATTATAGATGAATTATGCACAAATAGAAATAAATATTTTTTTTTCTCTTTTGTTCTTATTAGGAAACCTGTTTTATTGGATGAAGGTCATTCAAATACCATGGTCATACTTGAATATCTGAATATAACGTGCTGGTCCTTCATATTAATTTCCCCCAATTATCAGCTAAATTCTTTTACATACTCTATAACAAATAGAGAAACTGATAGCGAACAGCATGAATCGCGGATGCGCAGGCTGGTCTGGATCCATGCTGGTCGCAAACCCATTATGTTGGTTTTGTCGTGACGCGGCTCAAATAATCAAGTTATTGCAAAACAAAACTCTCATTAGAAACATTGTTCTTACCGTAAATGGTTTTGTAAAAGTTTTTGTCACACATTCCTATTCCGATGCATTCAGTAATTCCTCTAGCGTTTGTACACTTTTCCTATAACACCCAAGATAAATTTATCAACATTTAACTTTAACAACCATAATGTTCACGTGATCTTATGGTAATATATATTAAAAACCCAGCAACATTATAGGATATATCCACTCTGTACAATATCTCGCATATAATAAACGAACAAACGCATTTTACTGAATCATCTTCTTTATTTACTGATGTTTTTACCTTATTTCTTTCTGTGTGTAGTGTCCATACATTCGGTGTTGGCGACCCTTTTCTTGACCAACAAGAAAGATATGATACTTGTCTAGTTTTGTTATTGTTAACTTAACTGCCACAAATCACAAATTAGTCTTGATTTTCGACCAATGTAATTTTGATAATATGAAGCGCGAGGCAGCTGCATTTGACTGGGGCACTGGGATTCTCTTGGAAATGATAATATTAGTATTTATTCAAACTGTATTAAAGAAACGCTTTTTAAACAAAAATAGTTACTATTAGACAATCAGACACTCCATGGATGAATAACGCAATAAGGAAATGTGTGTATAAGGAAAAGAAATAGAACATATGATGGGCTAAAAACAAATAATGAAGCACACTGGAGTAATTATAAAATAGAGAAAAACAGAATCCCTAAAGAAAGCCCAACATGACAAAATTGAAAATATTGCAGGCTCGGTTTGATGGACGGTACTGGAAAGTGCAAGTTACCGTCCAAGCCCCCTAGCACCGGCTTAAGCAGAACTTATCATTTAAACATGAAAATGATGACATTTTGAATTTAGAAAGCCCTCTTTGCGTATATGGTAAAGTTGAAAATACAAAAACGCTATTTCCTCCGCTTCTTCTAGTACCAAGATGAACGAACTGTCCGTCAAAGAGTTTAAGTCAAATCACAATTGTCGCATTAAGTACTTTACTCTACAGCGATAATTCACTTATAACGTACGGATGCTCTAAATAGAACATTTGTATTACATATACATAAACATATACAAAAACACAACGATTTGATATATAATATTATTTTGCTTAGAAAAGAAAAAAAATCTTCTTGACTCCATAGTGGTAAGGTAACTTTCTTTTTCTATATTCTTCCTGTTTCTTTACTACTTCTTCAATCACATGTTCTTATAATTTCTTTTCATTGTCGATTTTTCTAACATTCTTATAAATTAGATTAAACGTTAAACTAAGCAATGTTTTTATGTATTAAATTAATTTCTTACATGTACTCATATTTTAAATCGAAGAGTCCATTTTTAAGTACAGTTATGAATCTTGAATTAGTTCATAAAAAGTAGTAAGTGAGTTTTTATAAAATCTTTTTAAGTTTCCTACTCATTCCGTAAATTTACTATTATGTACTTAATTATGTAAATGAAAAGATTACAAATTAAATTATTGTTTAAACTAATTTAAAAATTATATTTTACAAATCTCGCAAAAGCTTCAGCGGCCCTTTCGTGATTTATTTCATAACAAAATGTCACGCAGTAGAACCACCGACCGACAATGTAAAGAAGTAAAATCTCTTACTTGATTGACATGACAAATGCACGTGAATGACAATTAACTGATTTATAGTTAAAAACACTTACTACTGTCGTAAATATGATAATTTCTCATTGTAATGTCCAATGTACTGTTCAACAGTATGAAAATGTAGCGTTGTAAACTATAAATTACCTATATTACCAATGCAATTGTCTTTTTATCGGTTACAGAATTTATCATAATTACCTGGTGATCTTTGCATACTTTAACAATCACATGCTCCTTCTTAAATCTGTTTTCATTTCCTTCAAAATCAAAACAATTTACATGTAAAATACATTGTATAGTTTTTAGGATGAATAATCACGTGACATTGGTTTATGATAACATTATGTCACAACGCTGATTTACAAGGGTTTTTCCCAGTATATCTATCATTATGTTAATAATAAACATATACCATATTCTAGACAAATATATGAGCCGCGTCGTGACAAAACCAACATAATGGGTTTGCGACCAGCATGGATCCAGACCAGCCTGCGCATCCGCGCAGTCTGGTCAGGATCCATGCTGTTCGCTATCAGTTTATTTACTTGTTATAGGGTCTGTAAGCGAACAGCATGGATCCTGATCAGACTGCGCGGATGCGCAGGCTGGTCTGGATCCATGTTGGTCGCAAACCCATTATGTTGGTTTTGTCGTGACGCGGCTCATATGTCAATTCCAATGGTACAGAACACTTTCCAATGTGGCCCTTGTCCTATATCCGTTATGCTTGCAAAACTTATTTTGTGACAAAATGTTACCGAACCAAAAATCACCACATTCAAAACTTTCTGCAAGCGTAACTGGATGTGTGCAGGAAAAAAAGCAAATACCTTAAGTCATTAGCGGAGCGGTTATTCAATTTAACCGTAAACAAAAGGTACGTGACCACCCACCTAGTTTATTAAAGATAAATGGTGATGACAAAGATAGCAGCAATATTAATAAATATTATTATGCAACAAAACAACAAATGTATCAAAATTATTTTAACAATGATACTATCTATGAAGATGATAATAATGTAAAAACAACCTGTCCATGTGTCAACTTTGGAATTAAACGATTTCGGAAGAGGATAAACATTAGAGCCAGATAAACTAATTGAAGCACAGTTCTTGCAATTACCAGTACCACCATCAGTGCCTCCAGCACACAAATCATTACAAGGGTCGCTTACAAATATCTCTATGCTGTGTAACAAAGTGTTCATTTCGTGTTCCATATATGGTGGTAACGATAAGTATACAGTAGTTTCTGAAATATATATTGAACTTGAAAGATATAAGAATGAACTTTCTGCAGTTTCGAAATATTTTAACACTATCTGCAACCCTACCATATCAAATATTCTTAGATCAACATTTATATGTTTATTATACATGTATAATTATTAATGAAATATTGATGAAATAAAAAAGCATATTTTAATTTTCCGTATTTTCACTGGTGTCATTTCTAAACGCATTTCAAATATAATCGTAAGGTCAAAAAAAAAAGAGGAGAAAAAGTACAAAAATTATATATGATAAACAGAAAATCGCATAATAACATATAGAGGATGCTAAAGTGTTGTTTATTTTCTATAAATATGGGCTTTTTATCACTTATGGTATATATTATGACATTTCATCCGTGGCTAATACCACTCGTGATAATTTATCTTCTTAAATACAAGTCGATGAAAATTATATTCCGTATTTATAGACAAAATATTGAAGAGCCTATATATATAATCATGAGATATTCATCACGTAAGCCATAAGGTCAATTGTTTTTTTTATGATCAAAAACTTCCCATAATTGTTCTTATCATATCTGATTTAAAATCAATAGTCATACCTAAGCTTGAGTTCGTGAATTCTAAATCATAAATGTCACGTGATCTCAAGTCGAATGTTTCGAGAAGAAAATCGGCAAATTCGTTTTTAGTCAGCACAATTCCTTTTCTTTCTAGTCGATCATATTCTATGTTTAAATCGAATGTGACGATTGTTTTTAGGCCTGGTAAAATAGAAAATTTACTGTAACAAAATGTAATATGCTGAAGATTCTATAAATAATCAAATTTATATCGTCAACATGGAAATCTCAATAGGTGGTCAACACCACGAGTTCCATACAACGTTAAATGTGGCCATACCACGTGACTTTTCGGGCACAGTACACGCAGATTTTTCACGGATTCAGTTATGTTTTTTTGTTAATAACTTTGCTGTTACTCAACCAATTTTGATCAGATAAGGCACAGAATACCTGTAATTATATCAGATTCCCACGGTAAATCAAAACCTCTGAATACATTGGACATAGTCAATCATTCATTTTCTAAACAGTGAACAAGAAAGGACGGTTTGCATGATGTCGCTTGTTCTGATAAATGTCGGGCTATGAAAACAAAATTTTACTCGAATGTTCTCAAAACCCCGTTCATTAGTTTTAAAAACGTTGATTTACCGTGGGTAGGTACTCTTGCGCCTTATCTGACCTAACAACATGGTCATTGATAAACAAGAAGTATCTTTTAAAACGACACTCGACCGAAGTAAATCTGTTTAACATGCAGAATTATGCTATTTCTAAGTTTTCAATACAAAAAGTAATGTTAGCATTGCTTGTTTAACAATTACATGATAATCATTTCTTGTAGCTATTAAGAAAATACCCATATTGTGAACTTTGAAATTAAAATTATAGCATATTTATTTTGATGAATTTTCAAAGACGAACAACTTTTATTTAAGGTGTCCCTTTTACTTGTTTTACGTTTGACTTGAGAAATTTTGTTATCATTTACAAATTAACCTAAAACTTTAAAAAAAAAAAATATCCACATTCCTGTACATTTTATTTTAGAACTATCCTCTACATTTATTTTATAGTGGCAAAACTATCCCTTACATTTTATCATAGAGCTATCCTGAAAGTTATATTTGAGAATGGTTAGAACTATCCTTTAAATTTTGTTTTAGAATGGTAAGAACTATCCTTTAGATTTTATTTTAGAATGACCAATGAGATTCACTGATGTCAGTTTGTAATTTTAAATGACCAATGAAAATTCTTCTTATATTCAGTCCTTCCCTGTTAATTTTACAGGAAGTCAAACTGATAACAGACGAACTTCGTTCGCAAAACATAACTGAATCAGTGCGTACCCGAAAAGTCACGTAGTATGGCCACATTGAAAGTAATACGTGTACAATGCAACAAAGACACGGACCCAGCACATCCGCGCAACTTATAAAAAATCTCATTATTTATTCTTCAAATTGAGCTACTTATTTGTAATGAAGGTTTACATATATTTTGTCAGATATCATATGAGAGAATATGTACATTGTGCTAACAAGACTCAAGTCATGTAAAATAAAAATAAATTTATTTGGTTCAATTTATGCTTATCCCAGTTTTAATAAAAAATAATTTGATAAAAATCTACATTATATAATACATGCATAAGTGCCTACCGTTCCAATGATATGGTGTAACATCAAAATAACCACCGACAATATACATTGGATTTCCAAACACATCCACGTAGTTGTCACAATAGAAATTGCATACTTGAAATTGTTTCAATTTCCCCATAGATGAGATTATATCACGTGACCCAGGTCTTAACGCAAAACTGATAGAACTAGTATCAATGGTTTTATACACTGTAAAATTGATAAAAAAAGAGATTACTATCAATTGAAACGCCGAAATGGCTGCAATATGCCCGCACTAACTAATTAAATGAATACTTGAAATTTTAGACATTTTAATCAAAATGTTATCATACATTAAAGGAAACGAAATATTGCAGTACATTCGTTACAGAAGATAGAGTATTATCATTTTTATATAAGCACATGTACTTAAGAATCTGCGTAATTATCATAACCCAGTCTGCCAGACTACAACGCATTCGATTTCCTGTGCAATTATCGTGACCCAGTCTGCCAGACTACAACGCATTCGATTTCCTGTGTAATTATCGTGACCCAGTCTGCCAGACTACAACGCATTCCTTTGTAATTATCGTGACCCAGTCTACCAAACCATAACCAAATGGACTTTATATGTTATTCTAAGAGCTCGCCTCGCGAGGCCTGCGGACTTTCCATGTTATATTTCCCCCTAATCAATTTGCTCATCTATCACTGTTGTGCCATTTGACGAATTTTCGTGCACTGTACTTTGCGTGATACGTGTTTGAATACCAGTAAGACGATGAGGATGTTATTCACTGGACAGACATATTTTATGATATAAATTAGCTGCATAAAGAGTTGCTATATCTTTTAGGTACAATTATACATGTAAATACAATATATCAATACTAAACTACAATATAAATAGTAAACAAACATATCGATGGGTGTGCCTTTAAACCAAAGATGTCGCTTGGATAAAAATCCATTTCATGTTGAAGGAAGTCTTCGACCTTTTGCAGAACAGCATCTTTTGTTAATAATTCCAAGAGACTGGAACTTATTCGTAGATGAAATTTTACTTCAGTTGCTGAAATAAGACAGTATAAATGATGTACTACTACCTTGCAATTCCCATTTTATAGCTTTAATTTTCATATGATATATGTATAATTGTACATATCTGTTCATGAATTACATCTCTTTACATGCATGTGCATAATAAAGGTTAAGAGTGCAATTTTATATTAAGTCTCTGTTTAAGAAAAATGAATGAAGGTTGTACTTTATCACTATCGTCATCATCATCATCATTATTATTATTATCATTATCATCATCATCATCATCATAATTATTGTCCTTGTCGTTTTTTTTTGCACTAACATTGCCATCATTATCATAATTATCACATCTATAAACATCACTATAATTATCATTATTCATTATTATCATTGTAATCATTATAACAATATATATGACTGTTTTAATAATGATCACTTTCAAGATATTTTTTTATCTAAATATGCAACAACTTTTTCATAACAACGGTTAGTTTCATACCTATTGCAAGCTATATAACATGTAACAACACAAATCTTACCTGTTTGTGAATCCGGCTTGTTCCATGTCTCATGTTCAGAACAATTGCTTGGCTCGAGACATTTCCAGGTGTCTTCTTGTAAACACCACTGTAGTATTATATCATGATTTTATCAGAACATATGAATTTATGATTTGTTCTGTTGACTACTGCTTGAACCAATGATATTGCAGTTTTCTTTTTAGATCATATGATAAATCAGAATAGAGATAATGCAAACAACAGAGGCTTTAGTACATATATTCGGTCAAGTTGTAAAAGGTATGAGTATTGAGGAAATCTATGTAATGATATTACGTTTTCTGTGATTTGATTATTCTAACATCTAACTGCGTAACAACTGATAAACAACTATTTTAATTATAGAAAGCTAAATCTCTACTGCCTGAAATCTGTTCTGTAAATGTCACTTTAAAAAAAAAGAATACTAGTAATACTTATATGAAATAAATATGTTGGTAAATTTCCTTTTGAGCGGCATAAAGCATCACTAAATGGTTAAGCCTACCTATATTTTTAAGAGGCTCGACCATGACACTATGGAAACATCATGATTTTACCGTTTTCAAATTTTATAAAAAGAAATTAAATATAAAAGTTTATAATAAGAAGAATTTTTCTTCCAAGAATAATGTTGTAGGAACATCCAAATGATATATATGTATATGTTGTTTTTTTATCAATATTTTAAATAATTATTGAAATTGTGCCCATTGTAGACCGATCCACTTTAACAGTTAATGTCTGACTTATTTGAAATAACTTCTTTTTGATACTTTGGCTTATCAGTAAACAGCTTACCGCCCCACTAACTAATGTATGAGCGACCTGAAATGTACCTCAGATTTTACGTCTATTTGATTACAATAATAATACGGGAATTCAAGGTTTATTTACGAGGACATTTCATGTACTAGTAGTTTGGTATTGCAGTTTAATGCTGCTTTTGTTTCAAAAAGTGACAATCTGACTCAAATTATGATTCGGATTTCCCCAAGAAAGCTATTTATTGCCATGCAATCAGACCGGTTTTTAGAGAAAGGCATTAGACGAAGTATCAAAATTTTGTTTTCCTTGGAAGTAAAACAAATTGTTGACTTTTGTTAGAAAAACAAAGATTGCTTGAAGTACATTTGTAATTCGAAACAAGTAAAGTGGAAATATTGACTCAATTTTAATGGGCAAGACTGTATTGCCAGTTAACCTGTCGGCTATATGGATAATGCCCTGTTTGTTTTATAAATCGTGAAAATTACCTACACGGTATTGATTTTCCAGCGGTTAAAATTAGAAACCGCATCGCTTTCAAAATTGAGAAAGCTCGGAATGATTGGCTGTTTTAAAAATCACGAGAAGGTGACAACCTATTGCTGATCGTCAGATCCTAATGCGTAGCGTTATTTCGGAGATGATTTTAATCTGATTGTCACAAGTGGCAACATAGAAGAAAGGGATTCTTTGTTTCGTAAAGCAAGAAAGGAGTTGGTGGATTTTCAATTAGCAAGAATTCACTTTACCAGCAGTGTTTTCATAAATTTACGAGCCTCGGTAGACGTTTCGTAGTTTTGAGCATCTGACATTTTCTCGACAACAAATCCATAATCTGCACATTCAGGTACTTTGTAAAAATTCCAGTTAAATTTGACAAAAGTTCAATAAACAAGTTTTATACACGTGTACGTATTCATACATGTGCACGTGAGCTAACACAAAAACAAATTAGTAGGTTTTGAGTGAAAAACAGTTTCAGGCAAGCCACAAATTGAAACCTCTCTTTAAATGCCATAAAAACATATGATTTTTGACTTATCGTCGTATATATAAAATCAGGCCTGACCAAGGACAGCATTTATCTCAGCCCTTCTTGACCAAGACGGTTTTACGAGTCACTGAGGCATGTCGTTACAATAGTTTCTTTTCAATCAAAGTCTTTTTCAGTCCCAAGTATTTGATTCAACTTGGTGTATTTTGAGTTATGCAATTTTAATGTAAAAGAATGTTTATAAGAATTGTTTACTCATGAATTGAACAGTAATTATGAATAGATAGGTAAAACATTACAAAAATAATAAAAACAAAAATAAGAAATGCTGAAATAACAATAAACTATGAATAATCGGCAGGATCGCACAATACCTTTTGGAAAATATATGAATTAAAAAATCTTTATTCCCTGTTCACAATGTTTTATAAAAAAACTAAATTTATTTCGAAAGTATTCCGCTATTAGGGGCCTTTTTAGTGTCATATTTAATTTCTCACACGCTTCATGTAATCCGCACACGCTTCATGTTGTCATTTGTAATAGTGATTACCACATTACAGCCTGTCGTACAAAACATATTTGAGCCGCGTCACGACAAAACCAACATAGTTGAATTGCGACCAGCATGGATCAAGACCAGCCTGCGCATCCGCGCAGTCTGATCAGGATCCATGCTGCTCGCTGTCAGTTTCCCCACTTGTAATAGAGTTGGTAATCCTGATCAGACTGCGCGGATGCGCAGGCTGGTCTGGATCCATGCTGCTCGCAAACCCACTATGTTGGTTTTGTCGTGACACGGCTCATTTTACCTTTTGGTCTTGACAATATCCACTAGCAGAAGTCTCCAAAATCAACGCCAACTTGAACAAACCTGGAAGAAAAACAGGCAACAATATGACTTATATACCTTTTATATGTGAAACAACATTGTAAAATAGCACTCAACATCTTTCTTTCTCTAAGGGTTAAGAAAAGAAAGATCCTTCTCATGAACAGTAAATACGACAACTGAAGGTTAGACTTGTAAAAGAAGAACACTTTTAAGTGTTAAAAATGAGTTCAGCCGGTGCTAGGGGGCGTGAGGGATTTTGCACTTATTCAGTATCCCTCATGTACAGACTCAATCAATCCGAGTGTGCAATTTTCATGTAATTTTGCTGAGGTGAATGCTCCCGAGGGATAACCCTTCTTCCAGATTTGTAGACTTGTAGACTTGTATATTACTTTATGAAAAAAATATAGCAAAATGAATTCTTGATTCAGGACGCTGTGTAATGTTTGCTAGATTTGAATACAGGGGTTCGTAATTTTCTAAATAAGAATACTTTAAAGGTTTTAACGAATTTACAAAAGTGATCAGTCTCTTACAGTTGTCGTAATTATGCATTGTTGAAATCATTATTATGAAAGTTAATTGAAAGTGATTTATAACCCTCTAACTATACAGGAACACCACAGATGAAATTTTACAATATTAAGAGACTTTTATTAAAATATGTGCTATATTACTCGTATATTATGTGAACAAGTTTTTTTTAGTTCAGAAATACCTGACTGACTTTGGGAGGTATTTAACGTTCGTGAAGTTAGCCAGACCGCCGGGACAGCCGGAACAAATTTTCGTCTAGTCCGGCTGTTCAGGCTACGCCGGCTAGCCGGAATCTGGTTCCGGCAGATTTGATACAGTAAAACCTTTGCAAAAGACCATTGCTATTTGATTTGGCTAAAATATGTTTGACATGACTCCACAAAGTATATAGGGGAACATAACATTTATATGAGATGATCCGCAAGCTCCGTTATTCAGAGAATGAACGATTTTGTATCTGTATGTACAGCTTATGCGTCACTAGTATTATAATTCCAGTAGGTTTTCTCGACTGTCAGACATTTCGACCCTTCATCCGATGCTTTTCAGTCATGGATTTTGACATATGAATAGTTTAATGTTTGAAATTCTAATAATATTATTGATAACATGTATGCTATGTGAAAGTGAAATAGTAACTTATTTTCTATTTCTACTTAGAGACACTAGCATTTTTTTGTCATAAAACAAACGGATATGATGATAAATGTAATTATCAGGTAAATTATGTTAAAATAGTTTGTACAAATGAAGACTTTTCTCATTTTATTTTATAATATATATATTGATAAAGGGCTAGAATGTAACAGATTCCGTCGCTTCATTTTGATAGATTATACTTAATCAAGAAGACATACGACGGTCTTTTGTCATCTGCATTTCTAAGCCAGTTCTGCTCAGTGATAAAACGTAATGCAACGCATTGCAGCAACTTAACTAACGTAATTGAAATAAGGCGTACACCAGTCCTGTAGCACCATGCGCACATTGCAACACTAGACAAAAATAATTGTTGTATTTACTCCTTTAGAAGCTGTAGGTAATCAGTACAAGTAAAATTTGATCACATTGCAGAGATAAAATAATTTTAATATACAAAAAGAAACATTTTTATCAAGCGTTAGGTTCGACTGACTCTACATGACAAAAATGTTTTAAAATCGGCGTAAATAAGCAAAAAAAAAAAATACAAACAAGCAAACTAATGAAGACTCCAAACAAATAGTCGATACAAATGTGGCATGTTGGTTGAAATTCATTCATTTCTTTATAAGCCCTTTGAAGCTGTTAGGTCCATAAAATAGGCCAATCATAAGTACTTGAACTTGAAAGGTCCGCTCAAATGTGCTATGACCCGAGTGGACTGAAGATATATCTTTTTTATAGACGTAACTGAAACTACAGAACTGTGCAAGTATTAAAAGCATCAAATCTATCCATATACAATCTATCCTTCCAGTTCACTTTAAACACATGTTTTTTGAGCTTGGAATCCTCGAAGTATTGAGAAACAGTGTAACAATAAATAAATTAATAAATTTAAATAAATAAATGAATAAATTAATAAAATACTTACCAAGAAATAGAAGCAAAACAAATTCCATATGTGCTAGGATTTTATATGAAACAAAGAAAAATATTAAGGGTTCCAAGTTTTGCTGTGAAAAATATACTTTTCACACTAAGTTCAACAACATTGTATCCTATGCAACATTTGTCGAGTGGCTTCTTAAAATACGTTTCACGTAGATAATTGATTTTTGCCGTTTGTTTCTGTTTCATTTGTTTGATTTCCGATGCAATTGTTTTAACAAATATAAATAATTTAGATAAAAGCAAGGAAAAATGTATCACCTAAGACTTACATGACATAAATTGGCATATTTTAAATTCCTACGTCAAACAAAAAGTGCTTTCAATCCTAGCAGGGTAAGCGTTAGTAAGGTAATGACATTGAAATTCAGTTAAGTAAAAACATTTTATAAGACATATATTGATAGCATCTCTTTGAACATGATATATTTTATAAGGAGACTACGCATGTTCCTAAATATTTTCACAGAATTGTAAGACAAGATATGATTTATTTCGGCATAATGTACATACAAGGTAATAAAACACATGGAGTGAGACATAACTTAACACATACATGAGCACAAAAACCATAACATGCATACCAACACCAGGGATAACACAAAAAAGGGTTTTACTTCATAATGATTGTGTTCATTGATTTAAGGTGATGTTTGAATACAGGTCGCCTGTAGTCAGATGATATGCCATCTTTGAACGAGGTTTGTTCTTTTCACATTTGACATTAACATTTGGATTGGCGATTCGTTTAGTTTTAAGCGTATCTGTATTTTATTTTGTATCTTTTATCGCCAGTCTATGAAATATGTATTATTTCAACAATCTGATAAAACCTTGCAATTGGTCGATTACATGTAAATAAAAAAGATAAATGTCCTTCGATAATTAAAAGCGTATAAACTTTAAACTACTGAAATATTTCTATACAATTAAGACTTGTATCATAAGTTTATGATCGATTCTAGGAAAACTTGTAACATAGTATATTTCTGTTATTAAACAAACATGTAAATACATAGTGCATAAATAAAATAAAAAATGGAATTTAACCGTTTAGCAATGATTCCGTGCATTCGCATTCGTGCATTCATTTGGTCGAAAGGAAACATAAAAGACATATTTCTTTCATACAGGCATTTTCTATTCTTTTTTCAAAACTAAAATTTTGTCAACTGCAGGCAGCAGAGGTAGAGCTTTATACATTTTATTGAAGTAATATTTACCAATGTCATCTATATGAAGGTCAAGGTCATGTCAATAAGTGAACACGTCATGAAATACTGGGACTACTTATTTGCATTTTTAATCAATTTGGAGGAGTTTTATATGGAAAAAAATATATGTGTGGATTACTTATGAGTTGTAGATTATTTTGCAATGAGTGATGGGAAAGAAAAAAAAAGAGACAAAAAAGTGATGGTGAAACACCTGATTCTCAAAGGAGAACAAAGGAAGCTAAAATATCGAGTAGAGGAGAACATTCCGATATAATTGCAGATAATAGTGCGGTGGTCAACGGTTTGTACCTTTCTTTATTAAACGATAGCAGATCACCAATAAATAGGGATAATCATTTGAATAATAACGGTATAATGGCTCAAATACCACAATCAATGAACGGTACATGTTACAGTCCGTATGTAAATATGCCTATGGGTTATCCGGTATCGGCAATGAGCTTAAGAAACGCATCAACACCCATGAATATGCCACAGACGAATTCGACCAGTGTACAAACGGGTGCAAATCAAAATCAGACAAGTAAACCTGTGAATTATGCTGACTTGATGGATTTTTTAAACAGTAAGTTTGAGGACATATCTACCAGACTTGGAAAGCTGGAGAATTTAGAACAGTAAGTTGGTGACATTGATAATAAAATATCCAAGCTGTGGTCTGATTTAGATAAAAGGGTGTCCAAAAATGACGAAAAAATCTCTGCTGTTTAATAGAGAGGCAGTTGAAGCTCATGATTTTGATATTGAGAAAACAAAGGATGAAGTTCAAAGTTTGAAGAGTGAAAATAGACGCATAAAGGATGAAGTGGTTGACATGCAGGCTAAGGCTATGATGACAAATTTAATTATTGGTGGTATAGCTGAGAAACAGAACGAGACCATGGAATAGACTAAAGAATGTGTAATCGAGTATTTCAAGAAGGATTTGAAGATTCCGGATGAGCAAATTGGTGATATAAAAACTAATTCAGTAAAACGTCTGGGTCCGAAAAAGAAGGACAAACCGAGAAATATCCTAGTAGTATTTCAAGAGGTAAAAATGAAAGAGTATGTAAAATCATTTAAGGACACTGTAGATTCGAAGGCGTCAGGGAAATATATGCACGATCAATATCCTCAAGAAATAGCAGAGCAGAGAAGAAAGTTAATACCAATCATGTTGAAAGCTCGGAAAGCAAAGAAAGATGCATTTATAAAGTACAATAAACTGTTTGTCGACGGGAAAGGGACGGGGAGTTTGGTAAAGTTGTGTAGCAGTTTCATGGGGGTGATGTGAAAATTAGTATTTGGAAGTGTAATGGACTTTCCGCTGAGAAACAAGATAGTGATGAATTTTGCAAATTAATATCAAATCAGGATATTGTTTTCCTGTAAGAATCTTGGACCAGTAAATATAGTAAAATCAATTTCGAGGGTTACACAAACTTTAATTTCTACAGGAAATTTCAAAATAGAAGAGCTAAAAGGTGTAGTGGTGGTATAGTCTTATATGTTAAAAACGAATTAGAGCCGGTATGAGATAATAAGAAACCACCATGATACTATAATAATAATGGATTAGACTTGAATTGCAACTTTTTTTAAATTCGATTCAGATATATATTTATGTGCAATATATCTATGGGGTGAAGATTTGCCTGCGTACGATGTTGTCAATTGTAATCTTTTTGACTTACTACAGACTGATATTAACGAATTTCAGGCGTTAGGAACGGTTTTGGTTGGCGGGGATTTTAATTCTCGTGTAGGCTCGAAACCTGATTATATTGTGAACGATCGTATTAACTCGATCATCGACAACGAAGAGTACATACCAGATGAACCCATTCCAAGGACAAATTCTGACAGTGTATAACAATTATGGCATACAACTACTTGACTTATGTAAAGCTACTCGGCTAAGCATTTGCAATGGGCGTTTAGATAAGGGTTCCTTCACATATTACGGACACAATGGTTGTTCAACAATTGATTATTTACTGTGTCACCAGGCTAACTTGGGGCGAATTGGTACAGTTCGGCACAAGTGATTTTACCATGTTTCAAGAATCATGCTATGTTACAGTTCAGCATCATCGCACTTATGTATTAGGAACCGGAAGTTGAAAATGAATATAGTCATTCTAGAATAAAGTGGAATTCTCAAAAACGGGATGCATTAGAAGCAATATTATAGTGTCACTTCCACAATTTTAACCGCATTATTTGAAAAATAGGACCGGAAATGATAAAGCACATGTGAATGAAACTGTCACAATAGATATTAACAACGTTTAATAAATAGTGCGTCGACGCCGTTGTTTGAAAACACGTTCATATCATAACAAGGTGAAACATAACATTTGCACAAAATCGGCATTTAAATCATCGAAATGGTTCGATAATGAATTGTGTGAATAAACGGAGGATATATTTAAAAGCACTAGAAGTTTTCAACTTAGATAAATGTAATGAAAAAATAGAATCAGTTATTAACTTTAAAAGGGAATATAAGCGACTCGAAATCGTAAGAAACTAGCTTATAAAACACGAAATCAAAAGGAGATAGAAGGTTTGCGCAAGAAAAAGCCTAAGAGACTTTTGGAAGTACTTTATAAAAAAGGGAGGGATGCGCGGAAATTCCTTGTCTACAAGTGATTTCTACCAAGTATTTTAAAAACTTGAAGTAATGAAAATTAACATTACAACTGAAGGTTGAAAGCGAACGGTTTGCGTCGGAAGACATTAATTCGGATAATCCTATCTTCTCAGACTAGATAATACTATATCCCAGAGACCAGAAATTTTAGCGGCTTTGAAAACTTAAAACGTGGAAAGGCAAGCTCTACTGATAACTTAAATCAAGAATGGGGGGGGGGGGGGGGGGGGGGGGGGGGGGGGGGGGGGGGGGGGGGGGGGGTTGGGGGGGGGGGGGGGGGGGGGGGGGGGGGGGGGGGGGGGGGGGGGGGGGGGGGGGGGGGGGGGGGGGGGGGGGGGGGGGGGGGGGGGGGGGGGGGGGGGGGGGGGGGGGGGGGGTGGGGGTTGTTCATTGAAATCTGGGGATATATTAATAGGCCATTTAACAGATCTTTTTAATCTTATATTCGATACCGGTTTTTCCCCGGATAAATGGTCGGAAGGTATAATTATTCCATTATTTAAAAAAAGAAACGAAAATGATGTGAACAATTATCGTGGAATAACATTGATCAGTGTCCTAGCAAAGCGGTTTACATCTGTGTTAAATAAGCGTTTAACGGAATGGTGTCAAAAAATAATATTATTTCTGACGCTCAGTTTGGATTTAAAAAAGGTTTTTCCACAGTTGATGCTATATTTTGTTTAAACGGATTAATAGAAAAAATTCTTGGAAATGGCTCTCGCTTGTATGCTGCGTTCATTGATATGAGCAAATGTTTCGACAGCGTTTATAGGAACGCGTTATGGTACAAAATGTTTAACCTTGGAATTTCTGGAAAAATGTTACGTGTAGTGAGGTCGATGTATGAGCACGTGAAAAGTCAAGTACGTCACTGTAATACGTTTTCTGAATTCATTGAAGTAGCAGTAGGCCTAAAGCAAGGAGAGATATGTTCGCCTCTGCTGTGGTCAATTTTCATCGAAGATTTAGAATTGTATTTAGGTTCAAATATTGATAGTAGTGTAAATATAGCAGACTTGACACTTATATTGCTTTTATACGCTGATGGTATGAGTCTAACTGTCTGAAAACAGTGCAGGGTTTGCAGTCCCATTTGACAATCTACGAATTTATTGTGATCGTTGGGGTTTAAAGTAATGTAAGAGAAAACAAAAATAATGGTAATTTAGACGAAGAGGTTGCGTGAGAGACGATGAGAAATGGGAGTATAACAGGAAAACGTGGATATTG